GGATTCGGTTACCTTGACATCTGAATCTGATTCTGTTCTTGATGCATCACCATTGCTATTCCAATTTGATTCACCACCATCGGCGGATTCGGTTACCTTAGTTGTTGAGTCTGGTTCTGTTCTGGTTGCACCTTCGTCGGTATTCAATGAATTGGTATTCCAAATGGATTCACCACCATCGTTGGATTCGGTTGCCTTGACATCTGAATCTGATTCTGTTCTTGATGCATCACCATTGCTATTCCAATTTGATTCACCACCATCGGCGGATTCGGTTACCTTAGTTGTTGAGTCTGGTTCTGTTCTGGTTGCACCTTCGTCGGTATTCAATGAATTGGTATTCCAAATGGATTCGCCACCATCGTTGGATTGGGTTGCCTTCACATCTGAATCGGATTCTGTTCTTGATGCATCATCATTGGTATTCCAATTTGATTCACCACCATCCTTGGATTCGGTTGCCTTGACATCTGAATCTGATTCTGTTCTTGATGCATCATCATTGGTATTCCAATTTGATTCACCACCATCGTCGGATTCGGTTACCTTAATTGTTGAGTCTGGTTCCGTTCTGGTTGCACCTTGGTCGGTATTCAATGAATTGGTATTCTCTTCAGTATCACTAAATCCTGTACTTGCGTGTTCTTCATCATTGGTACCTGTAGAAATATTTGATAATCCTGTACTTTCATCAGTGAAATTATCTGAATGTGATTTTTCAGCTGAATTGCTATTACTAGTATCTGTGGTAGTAGCTGAAGATTCGTTCGGAGCTGTGCTGACGACTATTGTTGGTTCTGAATTTTCTGGTATTGCGGAATCACTTGTAATATGCAGGTCTGATTGATCAGAAAAAATATCTGATTGATCCAACAAAGATGATTCTCCGGTGACTGTTGTCTGACTTTCTAGTTCAGCTGTAATGGTTGAGTCTATTGATTCATAAGAATATTGGGTTTGGACATCAGTATTTCTGAAGGAATTGTTAGTTTCTTCAGCATCAACACTAATAGAGTCATCGGGAACATTCAATGACAAGGATTCTACTGGTTCTTCTTCAAGCGATGAGATTAATCCTTCGGACTGGCCAATGGTCGTAGTAAATTCTCCAGGTTCAGTTGGTGTTTGGAAGACGTTGCTAGCCGATAAGGTCTCACCGGATAGCGAATTCATTGTTTCGAATGTTTGCAGCGAATTATCTGAATCTGTTTCAAGTGGTGTAGAATCTGGAAATGTGAGTGTTGATGTAGCTTCATCTTCGAGTACAGATGAACTATGGGATTCTACCATTGAGTTTGAGTTGTCAAGATCACTATTTGCAATCGTTGCTTCAATAGCAGTATCATCTGAGTCTTGGGTGTATGTAGAAATAAATTCAATGGATGAGGATATATCTGTTGAACTTGGTCTCTCAATCGGGTTGCTTTCGGACAGAAAACTAGAAGTCTTTCCTGTTTCAAACACCATATCAGATGAACTTTCTTCCGGATAGAATTCAGTTGAAGATGTTGGCGGAGGCTCTACTTCAGCAGTAGTGTCCGGAACTTGTACAATTATTGTCATTGTCTTGTCTATTCCTGTACTAAAAGGCATTGTTGTCAACTGTGTATACAGACCAGTCCAAGTACTAGTCGTATAGACTACATCCCAACCATCTGATCCTGTAAGCCCGAGTTCCTTTGGATCCCAAGATATTGTCCAACCTTTTTCAAGCCATCTTTCATCGCTGCATCTAAAGTAATTTTCGTACTTTATATCCTGAAAACCTGCTCCAGTAATTTTTCCTAATGAGTCTAAGAATGGTCTGTATCCTTCGGGAATTTTCTGGTAATTCATGGTGACTTTGTAGGTCAGACAGCTCAAGGTAAAATCGAAATCAGTTGATATGCTTTTAGGCAAATGCCACGGATTCAAATCATTAGATATTCCACCGTGTATATTTGAACAGTCAAGCTGAATATTTCTAGTTTCTATAGTCATCCCAAGTGTACCACTCAAATAGCCATATGGACAAGTTCCTGCTCCTGCTAGTAAACTCACTTTGTTAAGAACAGGTAGTCCTCTATTCTTGTAGACAAGGTTGTCCATGGCAGCTGATTTTGCAAATGTCGTTTGGATTGAAAGCTGGTTTTTGCCATCCCAGAAGCTGATCTCATTAACCCCTTGGTCGAATTGACTTGCAGCTTTAAGTTCAATAGGAAATAACGATCCACCACATGCAAACACCATGGAAAATGTAATGGTGCCGATAGCGTAGGTGGTGGGAACAACGGAAGATAACATTATACATTCTAATTCAGAAAATTCGATAAGGGTTTCACCAGGTTGGAACTTACAAGTTGCATAGCTAGTTTGATCTACTTTCAAGTCAACTGAGCTGTCAGTAGTTGTAAATTTGAAGACGTAAGGTAAGGTCAATTTGAAAGTGTCTCCAGCAGCTGCCTGAGAACCATCTATTCTCCACGACATAGTTACAAACCAGCTTTTGCTGTGAGGTTCTTGAGGATATCCATTACCTTTCCATTCCAAGGAATCGAATGAAGTAAATATTCCACTAATGGCCTTGGAAGTTGCCGTAGCAGACAAATACAATAAAAGATAAAGTAATAATAGTAACATTTTGTTGATGAAGTTCATTTTCAAGGATTACATTTAAACTAGATGATGCTCACCTTCTTATATAGACATTGGAAAACTTCATCCCTTTTTCTCAGGTTCTTTGTATGCATAAGTTTTAGACATACGACAAGGTCATAGATTCATTTAAATCATGTTATAGATTGGTGAAGCATAATTTATATGCAAAGACTAAAATTGATTCGGTAGAAGTTGCCTCGTTTGGTTCATGGTGTTGAAATCTAGTGGTGTTAAAAGAAACGTGGTAGTATCAAAAATATCATCCTGGGAGACTATCTGGAAATTGCATTCCATGATATTTACAAGACTCTATACAAGGTCTCAAATTCTTTGATTTGTTAATATTCATTGGTGAATATGTAATCTAAACATGAAACGTTTAAAACTTCGTAAGGAATGAATAGAACAATTAAGTTTCTGATAAAGCCAAATAAATTCTAATGTATTCAAAGGGGGTTTGCCCATTTTGTGTAACGTACAGTCATCGTGAGAACGATCGTGCTTTATTAAGATCAGGCATTGTTCTAAGGGCGGGTGGGGCGGTGATGGATTCTTCAATAGGTTGCAAAGATCTGCCCAATTGAATATTTTTCTGTTATGATTCTGTCAAAAAATAAATTTTGATTGAATAAATCCCGCGCAATATTTAGATTTTGTGTCAATTGATTTTTTTTAGAATAGATTTAAATTCAGTTTAGTTCTTTTAGTCATTAGACTGATAGCTGTCGTTAGTACTCATAAATTTTGTATTCACTACCTTTCTTGTATATTATCATTATTCAGATCAAACCCATTGTTAACCAAATATTTGAAATCAATTCTATTTTATTCAATTTAATAGGTAGTAACTCTTAACCAATCTGCTTTCTCGGTGACCAGGTTCTTAATGTAACTATGTCCAGATCTGTGAGTTTGTATATCAAAATATGTCGTATTCCACCCTAGGGACCAGAGGACACCTGTGGTCATTATTTCTTATTTGATTTTGCTTCGAACAATATGCTCATGGCATGATTATTCGATTGTGAAGCATTTTTGTGACTAAATGGTAAAGATATGATTTCATATAATTTTTTTGCAATTATTCTTTACAAAATAATCCTTAAAAATATTTTTGCAATTCAAAATATTAATCTTCATTACCAATGTTTAAGTGACCGAAACCTGAACCAAGGATCAATTACTTACTTAGTTGAATGCATTTACATCATGCAAGTTTCAGTCTGGGATAATCCGTTAAGAAATTCACCTTGATTTTAGTGTATGAGTAAGATCATTCCTATCGAAACTACAATCGCCGTCTTTCGCTTAAAATTCCCGTCCTTCTTATTTTTGTACCCTGAAAAATCATTTGCATCTTTTTATGGGCCGCAAAAGATTCACATACATCTTATACTTAATAATACTACAATAGAAGTAGTGTGAAGGTATACCGCGACCCTCAAATATCATTGAGAACCCCACCTTAGATATCTATCTACAACAAAGGAAACGTGCCCTGGATAGAGATTCAAAGAAACTTCAGTTTCATTACTCCAGTTTAAGAACACAATCAGAATCTTGCCTCATGCTGTTTCCTGTACACCTTCTTCTCTGTGAAAAAGCATGATTCTTCTCTGCAAACTAAGCGCGAACGAAACCATCCCTAGTAGCAATCAGGAGATCAGATGTATGGATCCCTTCTCATCATCATATCACCGCATAAAAGTTGGAGCAATTCTATTTCCGCTGGTATGTCTGTGAAGTATAATCTAGTCCAAGCACTATTACTTGGTTGATTCTAGCATGTACAAGAAACTAAGTCGATGAAAGAATAAACCTCGGATGCCAATGTACAATAAATTTGCTTAAACTAAGGTTGCAGCATTAACCCCGAGAGTGGCTGTAGTGTGCTCGTAATGAATGAAATTAAACTAAAAACGAAGGGAAAGAGAAAGCAAGGCAGCGAGGGAACCGCCCTGAATTGGCCGCATACTAACTCTATTGGCTCTCCCTTGTAGGGCCAAATTTCAGGCTCTCCATTGTACCTAAATCAATATCCTTTGTTACTCTCTATTTGTTAGGCATATATAGCCTCTGATTCTCGGTCCTCGAAAGTAGCTAGCAGATTGCAACATCATCAAACAACTCACTTTTCACATCGGTATCTAACCTTCCTTGCATGATTTTTTTTCCTCTTGCATATTTTCTTCAACTGTGTAACTTTAAATTTGAAGTTTCTTAGATAACTGTCGAAGCTGTGTTGGTTTTGGTATTTCAAGTGGTCGTTTCTATAATGTTGGTGCAGAACGTATCCTTCAGCACTATTATAATTATAGGTTATATAAATATAAGTAGTAGTAACAACAATAATATTAAAATATCTAATAAATTCTTCAAAAATCATCATATATAAAGAATAGAAATTAAGGGATATTATAAGCTTTATGTAACATTCTGGAATGGAATTCAAAATAGAATCCCAGGTATATGTTTTATGAAATAGAATTCGTGTCTTTTGATAAAATAATAAAATCCAAGGAACATCACATATTAGACAGATGCTTGTTGCAGATACTTGAGGTATCCAATTCCTTCTTTAAAGAGTTGGTGATGAGAGTACAGCCACAATCGTAATTCCAAAAAATTCCCTACAAATAAAATTAATAAATTAACTATAAACTCTATCTTAACAAAATCTAATGTGCATGTTGTTCTTCTTTCTTGAGACGTTCTTGTTCATCTAAATATCTCTTCCATTCAGGTTCTTGAACAGGTTGTTTCTTCTTTAATTCCGCGTCTCTCATACTCAACAAGATAGTTCCTAATAATAACACCACGGTAATGGCCTGTGCATAAACTCTAGCTTGCACAATCTTTTGTGCATTTGTCATATATTTGTCTCTGCTCACAATTTTCCAGGAACCATATAAAGAAGCAGCCCAAGCACTAACAATATATTTATATTTGTTTTCATTCAAGTTATGGATAAATTTCTCGCTAGTAGTCATCAGTTCGAATTTCTGTAAAGCTTCTTCATCCTTCTGTTTTAAGTAATCAGAACGGTATTTCTTTTCATCAAATTTGACAGAACCATCATCAGCCATGAATGCACCAACTGTTATAGCAGGCATAACATATAAGGATGCCTTAACTGAGGCATTGAAACTAGCAAATCTAGCTGGGTGTTTATATTTAATTAATTGTGACAACCCGTAACCGATAACAGCACCAATGGCACACCCTTTAAGTCCTTCTTTAAGAACGGCATATTTATGTTCGTTCTTTTCTTCTTCAGAGATGATCTTCATGTTTTATGTGAAATGTTATTGTTGTTGTTGTTGAATAAATAGATTAGTATAATCTTGATAAGAAAAGATTAAACCAAATAAATATAAATTTGGGAAATTGTGGGAAATCATATCGCTTTTATATTTAAATGTTGCAAAATAAGTTTCTTTTTAAAACTCTGGGGGGGCTTTTTTAACACCGGAGTATGAATTTGTGTAAGAATCTTCCGATACCTTTCCGGGGTTTGAAAAAAATAAAAAAACGTTATAGTATTCTGCGACATTTATCTTCAGATGGAATATGAAATAAAAATCCAAACTCCAATAGTGGAAAAATGAAAATGTCTTCCGAGTTACTTTTTCCAAAAAGAAAACAATAGACTACGACATTTTATCAGAGCAGATCATGCGATAATTATACATAGAATAATCCGTCATTGTTCCTTTTACCGCGTGGATTAATAATAATTATAAACAATTACATATAGAGTTTATTCCGAGATTTTAATCAGCTGTTGCTTTTGTCTTTGTTTCCTTCTCTTATTAATAAATAATAACTCACTATTAACCGGTTGTGGTGGTCTTGAAGATGGTGAGGACATCGTTTTCCTCATTTGATCTTTATCTTCTTCTAAAGTTGACCAAATATCAGCATTATAATAAATATCATTCTCAATGAGTTTGTCATTTCCTAAATAAAATATTTCCATCAATTTCCCAAAGTTGCAAATAATTGATTTAAATCCATATTTACTTATGGTACTAACTGTTCCATCCGTTATTGTTCTAGGTAATGCATATGTCGAACATTTCCCACTCATTATGTCTATTATAAACCCTTCATATAATCCATTGGATTTCCCAGATTGCTTAGTGTTCTTATTTTCATTACGACGATGACGACGGCTACGCAATGACATCAACCCACTGTTCTCCACCAAATGGTCAAAACTACTTTCTCCAACACCATTGTCAATTTCAGGAGCCACCCCAGTCTGTTCTTCGTCTTCATCATCATCAATTTCAGCCAGTTTTTTAACCCCGATAATCATGTTAACGTCAGTAATTTGCCATTCTGTAATTCCTTTAAACCAATACTGATGTTCACTAACAGCACTAAAACCAAGGCATCTGATTTCTCTTGGATCTCTTTCAACTCTTAAACAAATGTTATTCTTAGATCTTTGTGCATCAATTTTGAATGTTTGAATGAAAATTGTATTGGAATCACAATCCTCATAAATAATTGAAAATGATTGAACTGATGCGCAACCACAAAACTTACAATGGGTAGGTTCCAGATGAGAAACTTGAAATGTATTTGGTTTGAAATTACCAATATTAAATGTTTTCAACACAATTCCAGTTTGGATATCAATCAAACTGGCGGTTAGATCTTCCACCTTCATTATCATACCCACGAATTCAAGCGCATAAATACAGCTGGGATTTAATTGTAAACCTTTTATTTTTGGTAACTCTTCTGGTCGTTGATCCTCTTTCTCCTTGTGAATAGCTGAAAAATCATGACTTGGTAAATTTGGGATCTTGGCCGAAGCAAGCTTAAGCTTGTTCTCTTGATTATATTGTCCTTCTTTGATAGGTAATCTTCTAAATTTCCAATTATTATTCACCACAGTAGCTATAATTATTTCATTGGTACTGGTCAAACAAACTATTCTATCATTAACTCTGGGTGTCTTCAACTTTGTACTTGATACAATTCTAATTTCTCCCAAATTATCATTCCCATAGATGGAAGAAATGATATTCCATGATTTGGTCTTACCATCATTACATGAATAAACAATCAACTCTCCCGATTCAAGGACTAGAACATATTCATCAATAGCCAAACTTTGTTGGGACAATGCACTGGCATTGGATTGTTGTTGCCTTTGTGTCTCTCCGTGTGATTTCATAACGATCGGAGGTGGTGGTGGTAAGCTACCATTAATCTGTGAATTAATCGATACATCACTACCTTTTCTACTTAGTGGAGAACTTGTTGATTTTTTGCTATTAATTAATATTTGTCTCATCAAATGACCAGGAATTGTCCTCTTTCTGAAAAATGCTTCCAATACATTACATTTATTAGATGCAAAAAAATAACTATTAATATGGATCCAACTGAATTTCATATCATTACGATTGAAACATTTAATTAACCCATATTTGAAACTAATTAAAATGATATAACTCCCATCATCACTAATTCCAACATGATTAATTGGCCAAAATTCATTATTATCATCAACCATACTGGAAATATCAATTGGTTTCCTTAATTCACTCAATGGTGACCAAATGAAAACTTTATGATCCAATCCAATCGATACAACAAATGAACATTTTGTATTTGATTGAATCTTAATAATATCTAATTGATGTCCATTATTGGCATCACCTAATTCAATCGAATTGAAAGCTTGAATCTCTTCCTGTCCAAAATCTAATTCTTCAGTAGAAGCAGCTGGAATAGTCATCTTGGGTGGATTCAATTTAAATATGATTGCTGCTATGGCACAAATGAATCCAATAATTAATAGGAATTCAATATAATATATAATACTGTTTGCTTCGGAAATAATTGTTAATCCAGCAACATCTATCAATGGATTGTTTACTGAACCTTTAGGAATAAGTAATGACCAATGAACAAATATAATCAACAATTGTAACAAAGTAGCAATCGAATAAATTTGCAAAATATTATCTCTAAATCTGACGCTTAATAATGATTGCCCCAATTTATAACGAGTTGAATCTTTATTTGGTCTTGAATGTGATGGTGAATCCAATTTCAATAAAATCGATGAAAGTGTATTTGCTCCCTCGGATAAGTTTTCAATTTCTATTGGGGTGTCATTAGAAGATGATACTTCTTGATTTGTTTTTATGACATCTATCAAATCTAGTTTCTTTAAATCGACAATAATTATACCCGTGATAAACGTTAATTCCATAATGGATTCCAAAATGAGAGCTACCACTATGGCTTCAACTAAATAAAATAAATGCTGGGAAATAGAATGTAAATAATCTCCACGGAAAGAACAAACTAGGATTATATTTATAATGGTTGACATGCTAATAACTGAAACTATATTGGTAAATAATATTTTTGTTATAACAGGTATACCTTTCAAGCCTGCGTAATAATGATATAATCTTCTATGAATATCTCTGTTATATTTTGAATCAGATAATGAATCAATTGACAAATATAATGAACGGGAACTTAATAATAATACAATGAATATATAACTTAGTTTGATAAACGTGTTCAGCGGTTCAGATATTTCCCACATTGGTTTCCCATGGAATCTATTAATTAAATTGACTGAGGCAATACAACACATGACAGTTTCGACTATCCAACCATATAGTAACCCGACATTAGATCTAATCTTATGACCATTTGCAATAACCAAATACATGAATATCATAAAGGAAGATAATTGTAATAATACTATGATGTCACTTATAAAATAGAAGGATTTAAACAGTAGGTTAGTTTGAGTTATAAAGTATTTGATAAATCCTTTAATATAATACATGTTCGGGGTAGTAGTTAGGTTTGTAATGGATAAGTTTGTTTCAGATAGGGATTCGTTTAATATGTGACTTATCTGAGTTTGGTTATTATGAATGATATATAACTTGAGGACATTTGCATTCTGGATAATTTGATTGAATCTAGTGAATTCATCAATAAATAAAAATGTTAACAATATGTTGAGATTGTAATTAAAGATTTGACGTAGAAGTCTTTTGAATGATAAAGATTCAGTATTGGTAGATTCAAGTGAAATTAAATCAGCTGGAGATATAATAATACAATTGGGACAATCCAGTTTGATTAATGATTTAACTTGTTGAACTTGTTGAAACGTTTGGAAAGTAAATGTATTTCCAATCAAGTTATTGGTTAAACTAACTCGTGTGATGATAAATTCATCTCTTTTAATATCTATTGAATTTAATTCATTTAAAATTGAATTCAATTTGGTATTGGTATTGTAATTGGTAATTGATGATGCTGATGAACCAGATGAAAAATGGGTTGCTAATTGACAATTGAGTTTTTTTATATTAAAGTCGTATAATGTATCATAAGATAATAGAAATATAATTAATGCTGGTATTATTATAAATAAAGATGGTTTAATTAATATTGATCTTATTCCATGGATTAAAGATGATTTGATAAAATTGGTAGAACTACCACCACTAGGCCCACTCTTCTCATTCAATGCCGAGGTTGTCATATTGGTACAAGACAGCCAATCAAAGTTAAATGAATTGTAATGTGTTAACTTTTCAAAAAAAGTTTTCAAAAATGGAATGGAATGAAAATTTCTAATAAATTCAGATTTAAATGAAACTGAAAATTATCAATTATTAATCTTCAAACAAAAAAAAAATGTAATTAATTAATTTAAATGGTTAAATAATTAAAAGAAAGATATAAATTAAGTAAATTGAAAATTATCCTTCTGCAAATTCCTGTAAGTGTTTCAGATGCTTTTACAATTCTATAAAGAAAAAAACATCAGATGGAAATATAATTCCCTGATGGCATCAAAAAAGTATAATTAGTAGAAGAACCCTATCTCAATAGAAAAAAATAATAGAACAATAGAAGAATATCAATTGTTACTTCAATTACCAATAAGAGAAAAGAGAAACTTAGAGAAGATGTAACAAACGAGACAAAAAGAATACAAAGATTTAGAAGAAGAAGAAGTTAACACAAAATTGGATTCTATAATTAGTTATAGAATCCCCCTAAATATAAAATATTAAGTATATTATATTACTAGCAGTTGTTATATATATCATGACTACTATTTCGCACCTCCCAAGGCAGCTATATTTAAACCATTCATTTGTACAAGTAATTCATCTATCTTTCCATCTAATAATCCATTAGCATATTCATCTCTTGATGTAGGATCTAAATATTGTTGAACTTGAGCTAATCTTGAATAACCTTCAGTACAAAATCTTAATTGAATTTTAACTAAACTTTCAAATGATGGATCATAAAATGGAACTCTTAAAGCAATTAATTGTGGTAATTCTGCTTTTAATCTTTCATTTAAATCATCATAAATCTCTTTAGCAATTGACATTTCCTTTTCAGCTTTTGGTAATTTGGTAGCATCTTTTGCTGGTTTATCAATTAATCTTCTAACTTTTGATTTACATTGTTCTAAATCAATTTTCTTATGATTTCTCTTTTTAATTGCTTCATCAATTTCAGTAAAATAATTAGCAAATTTAGTTACTGGATCTAATACAGTTTCTCTAAATGGTCCATCTAATTGTTTTACAGTTTCTTCATCAAATTCTTTAACACATTGAAGATAAAAACTACCAACATTACTATATAATGATTGTCCTTGTTTAGTTTCTTCATATAGATTGGAAACAATTTCAGCAATTGTAACTTGTGCTGCTGTTACTGCTCTTAATGAATCTAAATAACCTTTAACTGCTTTTTGTAAGTTAGTTCCTGCTGTATTTAAAGTTTTATATCTTCTTTCTTCTACATCAAAATCTTTATCCATCACTTTATCCACACTTTTAACAGTTACTGATGCACCTGCTCTATTAATTGCTTTTTTGAATCCTTCCCAAGACATGACTGTTGTTAGTTATCAAATGCTCAATGGTTCTACTTTGAGAGGAAGGTTGTATGTTTAAAAGTGTAAATCAATTATACGGTGTTTAAAATTTTAAGTTGTAATTAATTAATAATCATAAGAATCTCCTTAACGGAATTATTCGCATAATTCGGCGCAATCGTTTCATTTTACAGTTAGTACGGGGATTACCCTGCTCTTTTTGAGATGGTCGTGTAAAAATTACAAAACTCTTGGAATTTTATTTGTTTTCTAATCAACTCAGTTTGTCACTCTCTCAACAAATGTTTCAATTAAAAACGTTTCCACTTCCTTTTTCAATACTTATCCGTGACATTATAGTGGCAACAAGACAGCAGTAATCAGAATGGAATCTACCAGTGAAAGACAAGAATTGCATCCAGATGAATCCAATGGCTTGATACCCCAACCTAATCATCAACAACAAACTCCTCATCTTTGTAATTTACTGAAACAAGATAAAATTGATAAGATTATTGAATTGAAATATAAGATTGATTCATTAATTAATAATATTAGAGATTCTAAAAGTGTATGTGATAAATATGATAATGAAATTCAATACTTTCAAGAATATATTGGTGGTTTAATGAAAAAGTAGAAAACCCACCACCATACAAATATACATACAACAGAAAAAAAAAGAAACAGATAAAGACAGATTTATTTGTACAGCGTTTTGGTGTTTTTGCAACCAATCAAATACCAATGTCAGCGTCTAATGAAAATGAACAAGAATATGATAATCAATCCAGAACTCAAAGCTTAAAGTATCGTAGTAGACCAGCTGTTCCTTTAGTTCGAATTGATTCTAACATTCTTGATAATTCACCAACTATTGTCCAAACTACTACTTATCCACCACGAAATCATCATGATAATTTATCAACTATAGATTTAGGAATTTATAATCAATTGAAACAACATGATTCAAAACATATTGCAAGCTTTTCGAGTGCTGAAGATATATTTTATGAAGCTTCACCAACATTAAGAGATTTAGAACCACTTCAACTACAACCACCACCACCAACCGTTGATGATTCAAGATATTTTCCATCTTTATTGGAAGAAACAAATTATCCAACAATCTCAGTAATCATGGAGCCCCATATGACAAAACCATTGCAGAAGGGATATGATTTAGATTTACAAATATCAACCGATCCAATGATGATTCCTAATACTGGTCCATTTTATAATGATAGAGATGAAGAAAGTTTTGAAGATAATGAAGTTCTGGCATTACTTCGTATAATCGAATATGAAATAAAACTTGAGAATGAAACTATTGAATCCATTTCTTGGCCATCAAAAGTTGGAAGTTGGTTTAAAGGTATGTTTACTAGAACTGATTATGAAAAAGAATATCCTTGGACTACTTTTATTACTCGATCGGAAAGTCCTCCCCTGGAATTGAAACAAGATGATGTTCATTTAGATGAAATCTTTCAAAATATCTATAATTCTTATTAGAAATTAGCTTACTTATATAAATGGTTTAACCTGTATAGATCACTTACTTGTATAAATCGCTTAATCTATCCTTAGTTATCTCCTTCCAATCTTGTTCTTCTTTTTGATAAACTTGGGATAAATATAATGAACATGCTGGCCAATTGCCAACCGTTGGAAAACTATGTAATGTTGGAAATAACTTTCTGAGACTGTTGATAATCTCTCTTTTGAAACTAGGAATAGACGATAGCTTTCCTGTTATCACTATATTGTTTATAAGGCTAGATCGTATGTCAATGGGTGAGTTCTTCACAATCGATTCAATTGACCCTAAAAGGGATTCATTGCAATAAAATAGCCGTTTCAAAACATCATCTCTGAGACCGGTTTCATTTGATTGGAAAATATATCTTTCTATTGAATCAAACTCCATATTCAAATCTGAATCTGATTCAATTAATTTCATGACAATTTCAAAATGTACTGTCTTACCACTTAGATTCTTCATACAAACACTTCCAATATCACGTAGATCTATAATTTTGTGAATCCAAAGTCCATCCCAATCAAAATTTAACAATAGCCCATCTCGTCTATTGCTTCCAAGTATTGATAAAACTGATCCTGGTATAAATGATACACTTTTAACTTTAAGTTTCTCTAACAATAATTTCGAAATTTGATGTTTGGTTTTAATTGAATATTCATTGTCAATTAGAAACACTTTACATGTTCTGGGAGTCAATTGAAGGTGATCGTTCCAAATCAGGTATAGCGTTTGATGTAGCAATGGAATCAATGTTGGTTGTTCTTCTTGGGAAGAAAAATCAAACCAATTACCACGACACTTTCGATAAACATTTGTTAATTCTTTATATCCTGATATATTTGTAATAAGATTATTAACTAAGTCTTGTCTTTGTTTAATAGTTAATGATGAATCATCAACTTCAAATTGTGGTGGAAATTCATTTGTTGATTGTTCATCCAGAATGTCATAATTTATTGGTAATTCAATTTCAGGTAATGTCTTTCCAACAATACCAGCTTTTATATATCTTGAATGAATATCAAGAATTACAATTGATACTATATGTTCATGACTTGACATTTACACATTTACATTATAGAATGAAACTAAATAAAGAAGTAGAGAAGTAAATATTTTTTCTTACAAAAGATCTAAATCTTCATCATCCATATCCATAAAATCTTCATCAGGATTTACTTCAGAAATTCTTTCTTCTTTCTTTTCAAATTTCTTTTGATATTCTTCTAATTGTTCAATATTCCATACTGAAACCCCTTCTTGATCTTTTGGATTTGCCGGTTGGGCCAAACTTCTTAAAAATCTTTTTGCAGTAGCCAAAGCCATATCAGTTGATAAATTAGTATCAGAATCATTTAATGCTTGAGCAATCCATTTTGGAAGTTGATTCTTTTTTCTAGTAAATCTTCTATCAGCTAAAACCATAATCCCATAATCATCTTTCCCTCTCAAGACTCTTCCCAAACATTGAGCAGCATGTCTCATTGCATCGAATGATAAGAAATCATTTTCCCTAATTTGATAATGATCACGTAAAAATTCCAATCTGGCTTTTAAAATTCTTGATTCGGTATATTGGAAAGGAATACCAATCATTAATACAGTACGACCATAATGATGATCAAAATCAATTCCTTCAGATACTTTCCCACGAGCAACTGATAATAAAACCGCTCCTCTACCATTTGAACATGCTTTTCGATAAGTTTCCAACGCTAATGAAGTTTCTTGAGCATCTGGAGTTTCAACAAGGATTAATTTATATTTCCAAACTTCATCCAAGACTCCCATATTCTGCCACATGGAAATAATCGATTCCATATAAAGATAAGATGGGAAGAAAACAACCATTCCATCAGGGGTGATTTTGGCAAATTCAACTAATAATGACCCATAATTACGAACAACTGAAGGATCATTACGAATCTCAAATCTAGATGAAATTGATACTTGATCGGACCCTTTTGTTACAATCATGGGTAAAAATGATCTTCTTGCTAAAGTCATAGCATAAGATTCTTGTATAACTGTTTGGAAATTTAACATTTTGGGATACATATCTAATGGAGATATAGTACCTGAAGTAATCACTACGGCATAAAATCGTTCAAATACTGGTTTGATTGCAATTGATGCATCTAAACATGTGAAATGTAAAATTGGATTGGGTACTGTGGAACCCTCAGTTTCAAAAGGTTCTAAAATCAATTGGAATCCCGTGTCATAAGTAGATACTAATGTAGCGAATGATGCAATATCTTTCAATGCATTAAAGTCTTCTATTTCGGATAATTCAAGTGTTCGCACCAATAATGAAAGTCTTTCTGAACAGAATCGAAGTGGTTTTCTGTCTATGTATGTTAATTCTTTTAAATGTTGAAGAAAACTAGTTGGAGTCTCACTAATAACATGTAGGACTTTCATTCTTGTTTTTAAATATTCTATAAATCTCTTTAGGAATGCAATGAAATGTTCTCCCTTTCTGATATTTCCTGGGATTGCTTCGTCAAGTAAATCTTGTGGTAGGGTAGGGTTCGCCATAAATAATTCTTCATCCCGAGCAATCTCAGCCTGTCGTAATCCTTCTACAAGCTGTTCATATTCATTCTGTAGCTTTTCACTATCTTGTGATTTCATTTCATCAATGGCATCTTTTAATCTATTTGCTCCTCTAGTAGCACGTTTCAACGTATCTTCGGTTAAATCAATCGATAAAGATTCAATACAAACATTATCTATATTGTGAGCTTCGTCAAATATAACGATACTATCTTTAGATAGTTCTCGGGAAACACGCTCAGCAATCTTGGGATCAAGTAAATAATGATAGGAATAAATAATGATGTTACAAAAGGGTATCATTCTTCTTACTGTGAAATAAGGACAAGTCCCCTCTTGTTTACAATACTTCATAAGCGCATCAAATGAATAAACCCCTGCTGGGACCAATTCATGTTGATCTAATTGATTCAAATTTTCATGAAATGAACATAATGAAAATGATTCAGGATTAGTAAGTTGTTCATTTTCTGTGACTATTCCTTTTTCAATTTTATCCTTTAATTGACCATTAGTGATTCTTCTACATTTCTCATCAACCACTGTACCTTTTCTTTCTTGTGAAATTGTGGGATGTAAACATAAATTCTTTCTACTTGATAAACCCAATCCCCGAAAATCTTCAACATATCCTAATTCATTTGCTCTATATTGCATTAATTTATGTAATTCTATTAAAGCTTTTTCAATTTCTGACATTGTACGAGAACAATATACAATCTTTCTCTGTTCTGGATAATGCATTTGATAGGCAACTGTTAATGATAATAAGGATACAGTTTTCCCAGTACCAGAAGGCATTTCCAAAATACAATTTCCACCTACATCAAGTGTTTTTTTGATATCACACATATAAGCATATTGCTCTGGATATATCTTGGGATAAGGGAATAGTACAGGTAAATCATCAATATAAAATTTCATCTTTTCAAGTCAAATCAGCCAAATCTCTAGGTGATGAAGTAAATGATTACAATTAAGAAGAGATATGTAGAGTGAAAAAAGATTGCTAAAATAATAAAATTTAAAGACTGACAGAAAAAAAATTAATCATAATGAAATATGAAATATGAAATGCTCTTGGGTTGGGGTCTAAATCTAAATAATTCTAATAAATATAAATAATGATGCAACGAATGTTTAAGTAAATTTATTTAAAATCAATTGTTGTAATTTTGGATAAATAATATCTGAAGTATTTCCTTCAATTGAATATAAAATATTCTTTTGATTATAAAATTCTTTTAATGGTTCAATTGTTTTATTATATTGATCTAATCTCTTTTGAAATACTTCCACGGTATCATCTTTTCTTTTAACTAATGGTTCTCCAGTTATATCATCTTTAAATGGAACTTTAGGAGGATCATAATCTAAATTGTAAACTCTTCCACTTGATGGATGAATCCATCTATTTTCAATTCTTTGTAAAATCACTTTTTGATCAACATCTAATTCAACAACCATATTTAAATTAGCTTGATTACCTTGTAATGCTTCATCTAATTTAAGTGCTTGATTATATGTTCTTGGAAACCCATCCAATAACCAATTTGACTCGGGTCTAAGCCAATTCAGTGTCTTCAAATGATTTGTAATAAGTGACACCATAGTGGAATCTGGTACTAACTCACCACGCAGAATATAATCTGAAGCTTCTTTTCCAATCTCACTTCCAGCATCGATTTGACTTCTTAAAATATCACCAGAAGATAATGATTCAAGCTGATTGAATTGCTTTAACAATCTTGAAGTTTGAGTTCCCTTTCCGGACCCTGGTGCTCCTAATAATAATATACGGATTGGTCTTAACTTGTTCATATATCACTATGTTGATACTTATACAATAAAACTTTCTTCTTGAATAAATTTAGTGGAGAAAATGTTCAGATTTAAACAAAAAAAATTATTTCGCGGTTAAAAGATTAGCCTCGGGCTCTTAAAATAAAAACCCATAAACTGTACAAAATAAAATGGAATTATTCATGATACTTATAATAGGACAAACTACTTATACAAAATTAATCTACAAATTTTAATCTTCATCTTCATTATCAGAATCAATAATTCTTCTTCTCTTTCTAATCTTGCCTTCATCTTCTTCAACACTTTCTGATCTTTCTCTATATTTGGCAGCACCCTTTTCTTTGACTTGTTTCAATCTCTCTGCACCCTTTTCAAATTCTTCTTCTTCCTCCTCTTCTTCTTCTTCTGCGTCGCTGTATCCACCTTCTTCTTCCTCGTCATCATTAGCTACAAAATCATCTTCTTCATCATATTCGTCTTCCCCATAAGTTCTTGCATATCGTTCATAAGAAGATTCATTCCTGACTCCAGGCAGATTGCTCCTTTCTAACCTTTCTTCTTGTAATCTTCTCCTTGATTCTAATTGTCGTTTCAATTTCATTGTCTTACGTTCATTCTCATCAGCCAATCTTTGTTTCTTCATTGGATCGTCTTCAGTAATCGTACTTAAAATCTTATCTTTTCTTTGAATATTCTTAACTGCCTGAGTCAATTGTCTATGTGTTGAAGTTAAAGTTGAAGCAGGTAATAAATTGATAGTTTTATTTATAGGTGAATCATTTTGTAATATTTCTAAAGAATCATAAGTTCGAACTAAATAATTATCTTGAATTGGTAATTGTTTAACATCAAATAATTCTTGTCCAATTTTCAATGATAAAGATCCATCATTCCATTTAATGAAATGGGCATTCGATTGTTTAATAATTTCATCATTCCCACTATTCGAATATCTCCATCTAATTGTATTTTCATTTAATAATTTTTCTGCAACCAATTCATTATGAATTTGTTTGTCAGTTAAATCAGATTGCTGTGACCTTAATCTTGCGCTCTTGTTAATTTGATCTTTAAATTCATTTGGATCAAATGGATGAGCTTCAATGTTTAAAAATACTGGCATTTTTAACATATATGTATCGTCTTCAGGAACCTGAGAGATGGCATGACGAGGTAAAGATATATCTGCTATATTCTTGTTGGTTTCACCATAATCTTCATCCTCTTGTTCTTCTTCATCATCTTCATCTTCCTCTTCTCTTTCTTCCTCTTGTTCTTCTTCATCATCTTCATCTTCCTCTTCTCTTTCTTCCTCTTGTCCCTCGTTGTCTTCTTCGTCTTGCGAATCTCTAGAAATGTTTCTAGACTTACGTGGTTGTTGTTCTATTTCGTCTTCGTCATCTCCAAATAAATCATCAATCTCCTGATGCAATTCTTCTTGATCTGATCTTTCTTCCTCTGACATTATTATGCTTTATGGATTGTCTATGTACGTCTTCTCCCTTGGATTTGAGCTGTTCATTTGTTTTAATTGGCAACAATTTTTCATGGTAGATTTCCAGTTGATGGGTTCTCATTTTTTGGGCTAATCTACACTACTAAATCAGAGAAGTTGCAAAAAATGAATGACAATTAAAGTTCTATAAAACCTTAGAGAATTTCGTATATTAATTACACCTTTCTAAAATAACAATACCAATAGAATCTCAGATACCCAAAAGTACATATAAAAGAACATTAATAATAAATATTTGATAGATATCAAAGATAAAAAAAATCACAGAGAAAAGCCAACACCAAAATTGATAAAATTCAACCTAAAACCAAAAAATACAAGCTCTCTCTCTCTCTGTCAACAAGAACTAATACCAAAGGAATGACACATTTTTATAAAACATCAGGACATTAAAGGACTTGTAAACTCCTTCTTAACTTATTGAAGTAGGAGTGGATATAATAATAGGGGGTGGGGGAGATGGCATCGAAGTTGTACCACTATCTATATGTAATTGTTGAAAATGCAATTCATCAAAATCAGATCCGATATCATGACCTTCATCAGAAACTTCGAAATCTTCTTCAGAATCAAATGGAATTGAACTTGTTACATTATGTTTGAAACCTGGTACCGAAGAGTTGCCTTGATTAGTATCGCTTTGCTCTGTATCTTCCTTTTTGTCTTTTGATTCGCTTATTTCTGAAGGTTCCTCGTCCCCCTTGGTTTGATCTTTTTCTTGTTTATCTTGATCAGGTCTCGAACTATTTTCACTTGTTTCTTGAGTTGGGCTTGTAGACGATGAAGCAGTCAACTGCTCTTCTGATTTGGATTTTTGTTTAGGTAATAATTTGTAAGCATATTGAATCAAAAACTCAACCACTAATTGAGATAATGCATATTCAACTAAATCTAAATCATGACTAGGATGTGATAAAATAGATGGTTGAAAAATAGCTGCCAAATTTCTAGAACTCATAAGATTTTCATCGGAATGATTTTGTACCATTGCTAATAAATCCAATATATAAAATAATAATTGTTTTGAGGCAATTGGTAAAGTCGTAATCAATACTTTATATTCATCAATAGCAGAATGTAGATCTTGAGTTAATTTTTTATAGTTTTTCGATCTCTTCTTCGGTTTTTTATCACCTTCTTCTTCGGCTTTTGGTGGTTGTTGTTGCTGTTGCTGTGGCTGCTGTGACTGTGTCAAATCAGAAGAAGATGGGTTATTTGATGAAGATATGGAGGCGGGTTTTTTTATGGATTCATCCTTTGACTCGCTACTATTCAATCGTCCAATATTTGCTTCAGTTAGCAATTGAGATGAATCCAAAATCTCATTTGGACATTCTGTGGTAATTGTAGAAGTTGATTCAAGTATTTTTGAAGGATTTTCGGCCTTATATTTCATATAATTTATTATTCTGGGTCTTTCTCTCAAAGGATTTCTAAACGTTTCATACATATCCAATGGAATTAATGGTTCAGGCAATGCATTTAAATATCTCCTTAATATGGAGGCAGCGTCATGTACATTATATCCTTCCCAATTTAAATTTTTCCCGAAACTAGGCGGAGTATTGAAAATTGTTTGCAATTCTTTTAAACGCTTTGATGAACCACCAACTCTAAATAAACCTTCAACTGTTAATCCATTCTTCTTTAGAAATATTCCACATTTAGCAACGACAATAGGTATTTGACCATATTGAGCCAGATCTTGATCTGTTCCAGTGGTATCTTCCACTATTGATATTTTTGCATGCGCTTCTTCTAATGCTTGTTGTAATGGAACACCAAAGTATTTTGAATTTTCATCAACAAGGGAATTATGTTGTAAAAATGAATCACGATGTTGACGTAAACTACTCTCTGATTGATTTAAAGAATTTGATCTTACTCTACTTATATTATTAGATGATCTAGATTTATGATTCAATAAAGGTCGAAGAAAATCGGTTGCTGAATTGGTGTTTGGTGGCGATGCTGCAAAACCTGGGGTACTCGATTGTTGAGAATGCAGAAAGTGCATTGGATGGTGTGTTGGTTGTTGCCGTTCTTGGGACAGTATTTGCTGAGGCTGGGTCTGACCTGCTGGTTGATTTGTAGTTGGAAGAGTTTGAAGCTGTGCATGTTGACGTTGTGGGGACGTGGCTCTTTGGTTGAGTTGTTGAAATGTCAAACTCTTCGTTGGTGATCTGGATAAATCATCGTCACTAATCTCATTTAAAGAATCGTTTGACGTAAGGTGACCTCTTTTTAAACTCTTTGCCCATCCAAATATAGAACCTCGATTATTTGGAGATGATGAATGACTCATAATTTCTTTAGTTGAGTATATCTAAATGGATGTCTATTGATAAGATTAAGGTAAACAAAAAAGAAAAAGGTGGGGAGTTTGTGGTTGTCTAAATAAAAGGCTTTTATTTGAAAATGATAATTGCAATGAGTAAAGTTATATTAGAATGAGATGTTTCTGAAGATTCTTCTTCTATTTCTTCTTCTTCGTCTGTTTCTAAATAAATTTGGATTTCTATCTTGTCTTTTTCTTGTTCCTTAAAAAATCAAAGAAAAAAAAAAAAATAGAAATTTAAAATTGTAAATTTGTAGGGGCAGTAACAGTTGTGGTAAATTTGTTTTTGAACTACTTTACACTACTTCTTCTTCTTCTTCTTCTTTGTTTGTAATTTTGTGTAATCAATTAAATAATTTCTATAAATATCTGTTGCCAAAAAGTGTAAAATCAATTTATTGAATCAATCAAATAAAAGACAATACTGTTTGATTGATTGATGATAATAAAAATGGATGAATGTAAATGAATGGGATGACCCCCTTTCTCCTTCTAAAATATATCTAATTCCTAAAAAAAACAGTGATGATGATAATTAGAATTTTTTTGAGTTCTATTTATAATAAATTAAAACTTGAATTTTACGTATGTACCATACATCACGCGAAGTTCTTAATTCCACATAAGAACACCAAAAAAATAATTATTTGATGAACTTACCGTTCTACACCTCAATTTCTTTTGATTTTTTGCAATTACGTCAGAAGAAGAGAGTCTAGTATGCCATTAGCTTTTACATGTATAAACTTTATAATAATGTAGAGGCTATACTCGTATGATGTCTTTAATTTGCTCAAGCCTTCTCAATAAAGAAGACTACATTTTATGAAAGATTGTCAAATTCCCTACTGCAATAAAATACAAGGGCAAAAAAATCAGGGCTATGTGTTTCAAAGAAGGTTTCAATGCATATTTAAACATAATTGGTTGACAGCCTGTGTGATTGCTCCTTCTTCAATATTTAGGTCACATTAAAACTAAATCTCTGTCATCCCTGAGTTTGTTTAAACGTGTAGAGTTTTATCTGTTTCTAAATATAGAATGCTGGAGCTACATATTCCCTGCGTTATTTTGATGTCATTCTGTTGCGCAATCTTAATTGTTAAGGTTTTGACGAATAGATCTTAACTTCACATCTCGACACTATGATATAGAGCGCTGATAGTTTCTCTTTGGTGCTTGTTCAGACTTGCTATCACAAAACCCAGGTACCTTGGGGGGGTTTCAACTCCTTCAATAAAAGTAATCCAGGAAGTTCTCCATGCAGAGCTTAATGCAGAAGTCAATTTACTTGTTACTTTTTCATATTGGTCATTTATTTTCCTAACTCGGTCTAATTCAGCGATTTGCAGTCAGGCTAAACAAATGCCGATTGGCCTCTTCTCTTTGTTATGTGCTAAAACTACACAAAATACACTTCCAAAAAAATTATCAATGCTTAAACAAGAAGCGACACCATTTTATTTCACACACAATGGCAGTTCGTATTAATACCACGCAAACACAACTTTCCGCGTGCTTTGCAAGCTTGTTTTAGTGACACTTCGAATATGAAATAAGCTGGTAGTTTTTATAGCCTTCTTTCTGACAACTTACAATTTATGGGGGCTGCGTTCTTTGATAATGCATGGATGTTTCAAAGCTGGTTGCAAAGGGTTGTCCTACAAAGTTTCTACATTGGCTAATGACTTAATGATGTATTAAACAATGGCTTGTGTCACTTTCAGATCATTCGTATTTGTTTCATCCCTAGTGCATGTTCCCAATTGGGACAGAAATGGGTTATTTTTAGAATTAAAGTACACCAGGAAAAAAAGACCGGTCTAGAATTTTGTCATATGCAGGATGGACTAGTTGGAAACATTGAATAATTAAACCAACTCTATTTTCAAATAAGCTGTAACTATTAGTTGAAGAATATTAATGTATATGTAAAGTAAAAGGTCATGAATTCAGCATCCCGGTATTATCCTAGATATTGTATCCTGGTTATATAAAAATTGTAGGACTTATAATTCTTTTCGGTCGATTTTGGGCAAATTTTGCAACCATTTTCCGGGAATTTCTTTATTTAATTCACCTCAATTGATTCTGATGGAAAACATAAATCAAAAATCTTATATTCATTATAAACTACATAGACCGAAAAAGGGATGAATAACAGTAAGAGAGAAACAGATAAATAGAACTCCTAGTCTATAAAACGTCTAAGTAGAAGCAAACAAAAAGTCCTAATAATTGCAAAAAAAGGTACCTTGAATGCTCTACAGGTAGACTTCACACTTAGTAAGAACGCTTCCTTTTGCAAGATCCGACAGGGGATGTTGGAGTAACTATTGGAGTAGCTGTTGAAGTAGCTGTTGGGGTGGCAGAACCGTCTGGACTCATAGTAGCAGCTGCTTCTAACAGCTTACGAGCTTTGCTGGGCATGTTCCAGTAAGGTTCATACATACCAGCAGCAGAACAAGCTGAAACAGCTAATGAAGTAGCATTGACAACGTCATTTCCTCTACATTCACTAGCGATACATTTAGCAACCTTGTTTCCAAATGGTTCCATGGCACATAAACAGTAAGTGTCCCAGTATGAACATGGGGTATTATCAGTACTTGAATTTTCCAAACAGGATTTAGCACAGTTTGGAGATTGGTCAATAATTTTATCAGCAAATCCATTGATGGTAGCAGTTGGTTCTGGACTCATGGTGGCAGCTACTTCCAACAGTTTACGAGCTTTGGTAGGCATATTCCAATATGGCTCATACATCCCGGCAGCTGAACAAGCCGAAACAGCTAATGAGGTAGCACTAACAACATCGCTTCCTCTACATTCACTAGCAATACATTTGGCAACCTTGTTTCCGAATGGTTCAATAGCACATAAACAATATGTATCCCATGAGTCACATGGAGTGTTGTCGATACTTGAATTTTCCAAACAAGACTTAGCACACTTTGGGGATTGGTCAATAATTTTGTCCGCAAATCCATTAATTGTAACGGATTTAGCATCTGCTGCTGATGCATTTCTTAAAACAGCAAATGCCAAAGCGACACTGGTGAAAACTGTTGATCTCATAACGGGTAAGTTGTCTATGGTTGAATATTCCTAATATAGATTGTACTACATCTCCAATTCAGGGAGAATAGAAGACTTATTTATACCTGTCGAAAGTTGAGTTAGATCGCAAATCTAAGACAAGCGCAGCTAAAACAGACCGACAACGGACGAAGGAGGCGGAAATGGAAGAACTCAATCACAATGGAATTACAATGGAACATTTCAATTAAAGCCACGGAATGAATTTTCTAGAATAAACTTTTCATAATGGAACCAATACAAGTAGCGAATAGAATCAATTAAGCGATTCTTTCCAATTAGAAGAAACAATAACAGAGACTAATTGGAAACAATATGAAGAAATTCTATCCAATACCAGCAAGCCATCTTAATGAGATGCGTAATTATACGAGCCATGAGATGTTTGTTTCATTCCGAAAGAGAGATATTTCAGAGAGATCGATGATTGGCTGTCTGAGGACACAGGGAAATTCACTATATGCAAAGCTCTCGTAACTGTGATCCAAGGTCGAGCATAGGGTCAAAACAACCGACTGATGGAACTCAAATTATTATTCAATATGAAACATTGTAAGCCTCTATACACAAAATAATTTCCGCGGGAAAATCTTTTATAACTCGCTAAAATATGGCTTTGGCAACAGAAGCGAATCGGCCAACTTCATGGACAAAATCTCAGAACTATTACATCATTGCACAGATATATAGTCTATTGGTATTGGTTGGTTAAGTTCATCATATTACAATAATTCTTGAGAGTCACAACTTGTAGACTGACTAAGCATGCACATGATCGGATAACACGGACCAGAATCTAATGATGTAATTCTCCGGTGTTCTCTTGGTGATTAATTTCTCATTGATGCAGTTAGTTAAAGGGTCTACTGGAGTGTCAATCATGCTTGGATCAGTTTTATACCTCAAGCTTATATGCATTTCTTAAAGGATTTTCATTTTGAGTATAGAACAAGCAAGAACCCGTAGTAGTAAGCCCGAATTGAGACTTGCGCATAAGACTGTAGCGCAACACTTTATCAATTCCACCAAGGAGGAACTGTTTTGCAAGATTCATTCTGTCATCATCGAGCCTAAATTATGCTTCCATGCAACATCGACGCAGTGTACCTAAGATCGAAACTAATGAAATTGAATTTGGCTATATCCAATCACAAAATGGGGACAGCATACGGTACCAATTTATTGTTATTCTCGAAAAAGGATGAGTGGAAGCAATTCTAAAATACTATAATCTTCTGGAAGCCGAGGTTGATTTCAACATCTTTTTTCAAATATGAAGGAGGCTTAGTCCTTGTAACCTTATTGGACTTGCAGTGGTAAATGTAAGAAGATCGTTCGCAGAGCTCCGCTTTGTCGTTCCCTGCGTCAACTCTTTGTCAATAACACTTGGCAGATCCAGGTGGATCTTAAGGAAGATACATCACAGGGTCTTTTATAGTATGTTCTGGGGCTAGGACGTTTGTTTTTCGTGTCAAAATTGTGCCTTTAATACTCCAGTCATTGGAAGTTCAATTCATTCGAATTTTCAATAATCAGTTTAAGGTAATCTGATTGAAACCGGGATCCTGAGTGCATACACATTGCTACTCGTATAGCTTTGCTCATCATGATCAATGTGAAATTTCACCTATGAAATGGCAATTGAACAAAAAAAGATCATAAAACATACTTTGTTCACGGTATCTCTGCGATGTCTGGATGTCTGGATACTATTAAAATTCATTGTAAAACAACGAAACTTAATAGTACAAGATAATCCTTCAATGAAATCAATTGATTACAAAGAGAAACAAAATTGTTTATAACTTTTAAAAAGCACAGCAATTAATTATATTCAATTTTCGAACTATAAACGTAAAGAATTAATTACAACAGAAATTTAATAACCAAATATGCTACACGAGCATTACAAGAATTTCAAAACACGAAATGGGATATCCAATAGTTAAACTAAATCAGATTTCTTAAACGAAAATACCAAAAGTAATAAGAACAAGGAATCCAACAATACCAGTACTCAAGTTTCTCTTAGAGGAGGCATCGTTAGCAAATTCTTCAACAGTATGATCACTTGGTTGTGCAGTTTCCAATGAATGGAAAGTGGAAGTGGCACCTTCTTGGGGTCCCAATAATGAAGTAAGAGTAACCTTTGCACCTTGTTCAACAGAGCTTATTGATTGGATGGCACTCTCACAACTAGTGACAACAGCACTTTGGTGGTACTTTTCAGCCTCAGATTTAGCCGATTCAATTGACTTGATTGCTGATTCACAGGAGGTTATAATGGAGATTTCCAGGGAATGCTCAGCTTTACAAGATACCTTGTCACACACTTCTGAATATTCGGTTAAGGTGAGGGTCTTGGTTGTGGTTGAAGAAGAGCCATTTCTATTAGTTTCGCAAACAGTTGTGGTAAGTGTAATGATTGCACTCTTAGTAACTGTTTCTATATTAGTCCATGTTGGGATCACCGAGGTTGCATTGGTTCCCCAAATAGCACTGCTGGATTCTTCATTAGGGACTTCTGAATTCGAGTCTGTTTGTTCGGGATCAATAATGGAGCTAGTTGGATCAACTGGGTTTGACGAAGTTGAGTTTGTTGGGACAATTGGTGCAGTTGTTGGAACCTCGGAAGATTCATTAATAGGATCAGTTGTTGGAGCTTCAGAAGATTCATCAGTTGGATCAGTTGTTGAGGATGCTTCGTCAGTGGTCGAGATTTCATCTTCAAGATCAGCAGTGGAAGATGCTTCATCGGTGGCCGAGATTTCATCTTCAGGATCAGCAGTCGAAGATGGTTCTTCAGTAGCAGCAGCATCTAAAGATTCTTTGACAGTTTCAGGAATCATCCAATATGGAGCACCGACACCAGCTACAGAACAAGCAGAATAGGCCAATGATGTAGCACTTTGAACTTCCTTTCCTTTACATCCATTAGCAATACATTCACCGATTGGACCAGCAAATTGAGGCATCACACATAAACAACCGGTATCCCAATATGGACATGGGGTGTTTCCTGTACCTTGGTTTTCCAAACATTCTTTAGCACACTCTGGAACATCTTCGTAAATTCTGTCAGCGAATCCATTAATGGAGGCAGTTCTAATAACAGCAGGTCTAGTGGAAGTTGAAGTCATTGTAGTTTCAGGGGCAGTAGTTATGGTAGAAGATTTGTCCTCTGGTTCACTAGTTGAGGATGGTTCATCAGTGGTGGAGGTTTCAGCTTCAGGCTCAGCAGTAGGTGATGGTTCTTCAGTAGCAGCAGCATCTAAAGACTCCTTGACGGTTGTAGGGATAAACCAGTATGAACTTGGAACTCCAGCAACAGAACAAGCAGAATAAGCTAATGACGTAGCAGTTTGGACTGCACCACCTTGACATTCTTCGGCAATACATGCACCGATTGGACCACCGAATTGTGGCATCATACATAAACAACCGGTATCCCAGTATGGACATGGAGTACTTCCTGTACTTTTAAATTTCTCTAAACATCCTTTGGCACATTCTGCTACATTATCGTAGATCCTATCAGCAAACCCGTTGATGGTAGCAGTCTTAGGGACAGGTGGATAGTTGGTATACGGATTATCGTCTTCGGCAACAGCAGCATCGAGAGCCATCAAGGCAATAGCAAGACTTGCAACAGTGAATGATTTCATAGTCGATGATCTTTAAAGTACTGAACTAAGAAGGTAGCCAGTTGCGAAATCTCATATCCAGGCGAGAACTTATCCATATTATATAATATTTCATCTAGCTACCAACAGGGATGATTCTCCGTTTCTCGAACAAGCACTCTGGCAATAATCCTGAATATCCAATCAAATTGGAACTTTAAACGAAATGCTTTAGTTCATCAATAAGTATGCAAGGTCTAAAAGTTATTTTGCAGCTCAAAACCAATTGAATGCAAAAAAATATTTTAATTATTACCAGTTTTTTTAGTTTGGACCACAAAGATTCTCTCCAAATGGATCTGGATTAGATATTGATGTCTTGAATATAGTAACTGGTCATTGTTCCATATTTAGTCCGAATCAAATGATGTTCGTTCTTAGTGCATTGTAGTAAAAGGTCCAGCATTCACTCTGTACGAACATTTCACTGCACAGAGACTTCACAAAGCGTTACACATACGCGCATGTGCTTTTAGGAAAACAAAGCAATGCAAAAGGTTATGACTTGTTCATTTCAACAGCCTGTAGAAAAAGAGGTCAAAATATTATAATAAGGTTTTAAAATTCAAATAATATAAATGTATTGTTCTTTTTGTTCTTAGTGGCGTTGTTTTCGGTTGTTTGTGTGTTCCTACTTCCAAAGGCTTCTTTGAGCAGGCTTAACAAAGATGTTACGATTCGTAACACAAGAACGAAATGAGACGAGCCACCACAGGGTTGAATCCCTTTAAAAAGATTTCTTATTAAAAAGTTACTAATTTCAAAGTTTACCTCTTATGCGATGTGTTTCTAGAATTTTAACCAATCAAGAAAGAAGAAGCCGCGTAGAAAAATGAGTCGAGTACTCTACTACCGATCTTTTAGATAATTTAATATTTTTTAACGGAATTATCGGAGACACAAAATAAACGATATTATCTGACCCGCATTTATCGAATGCCAACAACTCTACAATACTTTAATTTCATACAAACAATGTAAATTTTAATATGCCGTAAATTTTCAATGAGTGGTGCATGAGATCAGGCGCGAGATACTGAGCAAATTTGTATTTAAGGACTTTACGAAGGCTGGGTCCAATTAAGAATTATTGTTTGCGTTAAATTTAACTTTCGTTATTATGCACAATATTGGTTACAAAACCGTCTATTATTGAAAATTTTTTCCGAAATTAATCTCTCTTGTTTTTTCGATCAGATAAATATTTGCATCCAAAATCCTGATGATTTCATTTACATGCATATATACCAATCCCAACTAGAGACATTTAGTATGATTGCCCAAAGCAACATTCCAAAGTTGTAACCAACCGTTCATACCTTATCAGGGTCATCAATTTCCTAAAGCGTTCTAAGTTAAGCCTATTTTGACAATTTCACCAATCGCCGAAACAATTTATTCGGCCTTGGCAAACTTTTCCTTGGCATTACACAACGCCTTCTCGGAAACTTTAATCTGCGGATCCTAAACAATAAAACGATCTGGGAGTAGTTCCTTTACGGGAATGACTTTGCGAATTACAACGGAACCTTGGGAAGTAACTATTCTTTTACAGAAAAACTACCGTTATAATATCGTACTGCCTAAACAACCAAGTCACAACTTATTTTTCCCTTTTTTTAGGTAACGTAGTGTATATAGTATCTAATATATATCCACTCCGTTACATTTATACGGGAACGACTTATGATTTCTAAAAATACACTAGCTTCAATAACGCAGCTTTGTGGTTTTCATAAGAGAAATGTAAAATTCATATAAACAATATACATAAGAGATTTTTAACTATTTAAAGAGAACAATCGATTGATCGATTGCAACCGAAGAATTAACACAAACATGTAGTTTGTGACAAAAAATATATACACTTAACTAGAAATAATACAATAGGCTTAGTAATCAGTTTGGATGGAATAAACTCATTGATAATAATTACTCACAGCGATATCTGCGAGCCTAGATGAAAGTTACATTCTAGATGGGCAAGGTTGCAAAACAAAAACCGACCAAAGTAAGTACCCATGCAATCGGTTTTTGGGAGCCTATATTAGCAAGTTCGAGAGGTGGCTCCTCGGTTTGTTCTTGGTAAACTTCTTCGACCCAGGATTGTATAACACTTTGTGCACCCTGTTGGACTTCACTTAATGAAGCAATCTCTTCTTCATAAATAATCACCCACTCTGTTTCAAGAGCTTGTTGTGCAACCGACTTGGCAGATTCTAAGGATTTAATATCTTCTTCACAAGAAGCAATGATTGCTATCACTTCAGATTGTTCTGGTTGACATGTTACTACTTCGTAAACCTTCGTGTATTGTGGGACAACAATTGACTTTGTAGTTGAACAGACTACGTCACCAGCAGTGTTAGAATCACAAACAGTGGATGTTGTTGTGACAATAACCTCAACTGTGGTTGGAGCAACTTCGGGGTGGCTAGAAATGTCATCTTCACTTGGAACAGGTTCAATTTCACTAACGGGGATTTCTTCTGCTTCTTCGGTGGATTGTTTGCTGCTATCAACAGGGGATTCTGTCTCCTCGGAATCATCTATGGTAGATACCGCATCGTCTGCCTGGGTTGAGATATAAACTTCAGTAGACTCAACCTCAGCTTCAGGTTCTGTTGCAGCTGCAGCTTCTTCCAAACTCTCTCTAACGTCATCGGGAATAACCCAGTAAGGTTCATAGACACCATATTTAGAACATATGGATGTGGCAACCTCGGTCATTTGGTCAACGTCTTTACCTTTACATTCTTGTGCAACACATTGTCCAATAGGTCCGTTATATGATGGCATCACACAAAAGCATGGGGTTCCCCAATATGGACAAGGTAACCCATCTATTGGTTGGTTCACAACACATTCTTTAGCGCAGTCGGGAATATAATCATATACCATATCGACAAATCCGTTAATGGTAGCTGTTCTAGGAAGGTCGGGAATTGATTGAGCGGCTTCAGTTTCACTTGCTGCAGGGGTTGGAGGATTAGTGATGGTTGCTTCTTCTGTTCGAGCTGCTGCAATTTCCAAACTAGACAGTACGTCTGCAGGGATGGTCCAATAAGGGGCTTCTGCGCCGGCACTTGAACATACTGAAATAGCGGCCTCTGTGGCTTGACTAGCGTCTTCTCCGAAACAATCTCTAGCAAAGCATAAACCAATTGGTCCATTGTATTGGGGCATAACACAGAGACAACCAGTACCTCCGTGTCCACATGGTGTGTCTCCTATGTTACCTTCAGCAACACAATGTTTTGCACATTCTGGTAAGCTATCCATAACACTATCTCTGAAATTATTGGGATCAGAAGGTTCAGCGGGTGCCTCAGCGGCAATGGGTTCCTCTGCTGCTTTCGCTAAATTGGCAAAGGCAAAAATGAGCGCGAAATGTTTAAGATACATCATACTTTGTTGTGTTTAATACTACAAAAAGAGTTGACTATTACTTCATTCTTAATACGGGACCGGATTGGCGTCCTTATATATACATGCCGGAATCTTTGATGGTTATGAGGTATATGCGATTCTGGGAAATCCAGGCATGCGGCAGGATCCTAATTGGGTCTATTTCTCTGTCGTTTAATATAGGGACTTCTGCAGCTACAGAGAGTGGAAGAAATTTTACCAGTTTGCAACCTTAAGTAGATATACTTCGAATGGAAAGTTTGTTTTCTCACTTACCTACATGCAAATGCAGGAGATTTCCAAGACCGTAGGATGTTTAATAGACTAAATTTACCCAGTTGCAAACTAAAATGTTTTAATCCAACAAAAGCCCTAATAATCTGATCTCACCGTTAATATTAGATAGGGCTTTTTAAGGCTTTGTTTAGTGCTAAGGTCCCATCTAACAAAATAGCCTTCAAAAAAATAAGAATATTTGCAGCTGAAAAAATATCACCAAAAAATATTTTTTATCCAATCACAGTATTTATTGTTTATGTAGATCGTTTAGATAACTTTCGGCCCAGAAAAAATAATTATATTGAAAATAAAGAATGTATTCTTAGACTTTTGTTAAACCACGGGTTTTATGCATGTTTAGTAAGTTTCCAGAGTACAATAATTGTGGAGTTATCGGTCGGTCAGAAAGAAAAGAAAAAATTTTAGATCATATTGGGTAGAAATTATTGTGCAATTCAGATTTGGAGTTTGCTTATCACCAGGGATAAGTTTCAAAAAAACCAGGCAGTGTTACCCCTGATATAAAATATGATTGTCTCGTAGGTTCGAGCAATCCCTGGGTCACAGATTTTGAAAATTGTCGTCTAACCCCCCTGAATATCCGTTTTTAATTAAACTTCATCTTCTACTAATGGCGACCATCTGATTAATCTGATAAAAATGATCAGTCGAAAAAATTATTTTTTTTTTTTTATTTTTTTTTATTTTCTTGGCTTATTGAATTCCAAAAAAAAATTTCGGAATTTCGCAAGAACTCTTTTTGTGGCATTTAATTTCATTATGTGTAATTACACCTCCAGATACGCACTCGTGATGACAAGTAAGCGTCTACTACATTGGACCATTTATACTAAGAAAAGCAGGTAGCTAGCTCATCCTATCTTCTCCCCTTTTTTTTGTCAGAGCAAGAAAAGAAAGGTTCTTAAAAATATTTATTTTTAATAATTTTCTTTTTTGACTTTAAAATTTTCAAAGTTGTACATAACTCCCTTAAACAACTCATTTCAAATTTCTACAAATCATTTATAAGAACAAATATTCATCCACTTTTCATCTTTCTCTTTTTTTTTTTAATCTGTTTTCATGTTACTAGTTTCATTTTCTTTTGGTTTAGATATCTCCTTAGAAATACACAAGAAAAGTCATGGCTTCATCTATTCCATTTTATGAACAATACTTTGTGGAAACGGCCAGAAACACAAAGTATCAATGGCTAAGTTTCTTATTTAGTATGCTAGTGTTTATATTCCATGGTATAGTATTCTTTTGGATTCCAAGGTACTTGAGATACAAAAGGTCAATTAATTCACTTAGATTTAAACCCTTTTTCGTCTTTATTGGAATTTGGGAAATATTTACGAGATGCTTCCTGATTAGAATACCATTTACAAAGAGATACTACTACTATAGACCCAGTATGTTACTATTATTCCTTGTATTTATTATCGTTGATGTTCGTTTATGCTACGTGGAAACTGCTGACATAGACTACTTGGTTAGATACTACGTTGTTCTGAAACGTGTTGCTAGAGTTGCCATGGGAAATATCCCAGCCGTGTATTTAACAGTCACCAAAAATGATTTTGTGACAGCCATAACGGGCTTGTCTAATGATATGTCCTTGTCGTTACATTATTGGTTTTCAAGATTGATTTTCATAATGATCACTATTCATGCCGGTTATGGTATCTACTATTGGCAGTTCGATATCAAGTCTCCAAAAATGTTAGATATACCTCCACAATACTTTGGCTATATTGCTTATGCATCCTTCTTCTTCTTGGTGTTTGCTAATATTAAAATTATAAGACAGTTTGCTTTTGATTTCTTCATGGTCCATCATAGAATCCATTCATTTATCATGTTATTGTTCGCATTCTTTCATAATGGAGGTAATAAAGCCATGGTAATCCTCGGAGTTCATTTATTAGTCGCTGACAGAATCATAGGTAGAGTAATGGGAATTATTCAAAAACGTACCTCACCTACCAAAGGCTGGTCAGAATTTGAAATCTTAGATGAGGAAACAATGAGTGTTTCTATTCCCATTCGTATCTCCCACCGAATGGATATGGAGGCATGGTATAATACTATCATCCCCAAAAAAGGAAATTGGAGAGCTGGATCATATGTTCTTTTGAATGTCGGTAAGATTAGTTTATTCCAATATCATCCATTTACAATTGCAAGTTTACCAGAATCAGGAACAATGGTCTTGATTATAAAGAAAAAGAATGGATTTACAAAGAAGTTATATAATAAAGTATTGGAAATTAAGCAAAAGCAATTAGAGGAATGGGATGAGACTGAAGAGGATGACAAAAATGAAAAGGGAAAGGTGGATATTGACATCTCTCAAGAACCATCTTCGGGTTCATCAAATGGGACAACTGCTGATCGAGATAGCTATACTGATATTGATTCACGCACACACCTTGAAGCTCAAGACGATGAACCAGAATATAAGAAAGTAACTAATCCAAATATTGTCAAACTCAAAGCTGGTATAAATGGTCCATTCTTTGCTAAGTATCATCCCTATATTACTTTCGACTCAATTGCATTCATAAGTATGGGTGTAGGTTCTTCATTTACCCTCCCCATTGTTCTTGACCTTCTTCAAACAATTGAGTCAAGAAATCTTGAGAATGACTTTATAGGTAGACCCTTGAATTCATATATTCATGTTTATTTGTCATTTAGGTGGTTACAAAACATTAGTTGGTATGCTGATTTATTTGAGAAATTATTGCCATTCATCAATGAAGGGAAATTGTTCGTGGATATTCATATAACACGTACAGATTCTCTTAGTACGATTACTAGAGAATTGACTAGAAATACATACGATGATCACTCTCATAAATTTGCCGAGAAATTGGTGTCATCACTGATTAACTTTACCTTTGGATGTAGGTTAGATCTTGACTCCATTATCCAACGTCATGTAAGTTTGTTGTCTGTACCTGAAGATATGACTTATAAGTCTTTGGGTGTTGCTATTTGTGGGGTCGAAGAGTTTGGGAAGGAGGTAGAAGTTGCTTGTGATAAAAGAAGATGGGGTAAAGATGTTCCTAATATTTACGTATATAATGAGACATTCTAAGTGTTATTTTTATACGGCTTACGATGTATACTTTATACAACTAATATATTTATTTCGATATTGATTTTTACAGACTGTATTTGCTCTTTTTGTTTCCTTGTAGATTATATTCGGTTTTTGGCTCCGCTATTTTTGTGTGTATTGTTTCCAGTTATGGTCTTACTTTTGTGTTACTAGAGTGGCACTCTTTTTAATCAATTCAGGTCAAAGTAAGTCCAAGGTTAGACAACAATACGTTGTACCTTATTCTGTACTTTTAGTTTGTTGTGGACATATTGCCATATTCTTGCTCTTAATACTTTCTGTTTACAAATATAAATTGATATGCCAGTAATTATATAGGTCGTCTATAAAAGGATCGATTACGCTACAACCCTGTATAGTCTGACACTCTTATTTACAAGTAAGCACTATATCTACAATGTTAAGTAACACGATATTTTACCTTTTCTTGGTTTTCGTTCAATTGATTCCTCAAGCTGTCTCTCAAAACCTTCCATTTAAAGTTGAGAAAATATCCTTACCAAAATTAGGTTGGGGTTTAGGATCATTAGAACCTTATATTTCAAAGGAAACTAATGTGTTGCACTATTTTAAACATCACCAAGCTTATGTTAATAACTACAATGCTGCTCTTGATAGTTTGGTTGAAGCTGAAGCCAAAGGTGACTACAAGACAATTGTTGAATTGCAATCGGCAATTGCGTTTAATGGGGGTGGTCATATTAATCATTCATTATTTTGGAAGAATTTGGCTCCAGTTTCAGAAGGTGGTGGGGAATTTCCTGATTTGAACTCGGAATTGTCTAAACTTGTTTATAAACAATTTGGTGGATTTGATGAATTAATCAAGTTGACAAATGAGAAGTTGGCCACTATCCAAGGTTCAGGTTGGGCATTTATTGTTAAAAATTTAAGTAATGGTGGGAAGATCGAGGTTGTAACTATCTCCAACCAAGAGGCTTTATTTAAGCCTTTGGTTCCTTTAGTTGCAATTGATGCTTGGGAACATGCCTATTATTTGCAGTATCTTAACTTAAAAGCTGACTATTTTGAAGCCATTTGGAATGTGATCAATTGGAAAGAAGCTGAACGAAGATTTAATGCTGCTAAGTAGGTTGCAATTTACAATTGCACAATCTTATATTTGTTTATCTACTTGCCTCTCTATCTTGCACGACTTTCTCTTCTTGATTTTATCTCTGTACATAAAATTTTAGTTGTGTTTTTTAATATGAATAAATTGAAACCTCATGGGTTTTTATAACTAAGAAAATTTGTTTGTGTCGGGTAACACCTACCATAAAATAATTCAACTATACATTCTTCTATAAGAACCACGATTATTCATCCAACGACTTGACAAGCTTTTATCGTAGTTGGATTATTAATGGCTTAGATTGATCATCCGCAGCAAGCTGATAGTGCCGTCTCTAGCTTCTGGTTTTACCAAAATATATATTATAGTCTGTTTGTTTCCAGAGATGAATTCATGAGCATCACAGTATTGAAAAGGTCAATTAGATTCCTTGTATTGCAAAAGATCCCTTTCTTGGTAATATTTTGCTAATCTGGTTACTCGAATTAACTTCGGAACCAGTTAGCCTACAGGCTTGCGCTACAAAATCCTACGAATATTTACAACATGGTTCGCGTACTGGTATGAGTTACATTTACTATTTAAACTTATAACAAGCTATTAATTGAAAAACTAAGAAAAGTTAATTTGATAATCTTAAGCCGAGTCCATAAGAATTTCAGCTTTACCGTCATCAGACATAGAACTAGGGGAATCTTCTCTGAAGACATGTTCTGAAGGAATGAACCCCTTGGATTTCCAGGCGTTGTCAACTTTCATATATAATTCATCAACTTCTTCCAATGTCAATCCCTTAGTTTCGTACACGAAGAAATAGACGAATAAGAAACCAATAGCATTACAACCACCCCAGATGAAGAAAACTTTAGAGCCTAAATTAGCATTACCTGGACCAGAATCGACCATGTATGGAGTAGCATAACCAATACCGAAGTTCCATAACCAGTTGGAAGCAACACAGAGAGCAATGGATTTTTGTCTAACATTGATGGTATAAGTTTCTGCAACAACTGCCCAGCACAATGGACCCCAAGTAGAAGCGAAGCCTGCGATGAAGATACAAGTGAAAGCAACCAAGCATTGGTTGGCAGCTTGGGAATCTGTCGCAACACCAACAGCCGCAACAATCAATTGAGAGACAGACATCACCACAGAACCAATTAATAATAAGTTTCTTCTACCTACAAATTCAATCAAAGTAATTCCGGGAATAGTCATACCAACATTCACAATATTAGTAGCTAATTGGACAAGGAAAGGATTTTTAATACCCGACTTTTGGAAAAATTGAGTTCCATAATAGAAAATGAAGTTAATACCGGTTAACTGTTGTAAAGCTTGGATTGTGACACCCATAAACAATCTCTTGTGTTGTTTGTTGACATTCTTAAAGACTTGAGACCAGCTCGCTTTACCAAATTGAGATTCGAATTCGAAATTAGCTTTAATGTCCTTGTATTCTTCAATTAAATCAGGGTGATCGGTTGGAAGTTTTCTTAACCTTCTTAAAGAATCTAAAGCTTTGTCTTCGTTGGATTTCGAGACCCAGAATCTTGGAGTTTCTGGCAATAAGAGCATCCCTCCACCTAATATTAACCCCCACAAGAATTGTAAAGCAATTGGTATTCTGTAAGAGCCAGAATCGTTCCTATCAGAAACACCTTTGTTCACACAGGCAGCAATGAATAATCCAATAGTGATTGCAAATTGATATGTGGAAATAACAGCACCTCTGATCCATTTGGGTGTAGTTTCGGCAATATATAGAGGAATAACAGCAGATATCAAACCAACACCTAAACCAGCAATACATCTGCCTGCTACTAACAATGGAATTGCGACGGAGATTGTTTGCAATAAGACACCGAGATTGAAAACAATTAAAGAAGAAATGATTAACGTCCACCTACGACCAATCCTATCAGAAAGGAGTGGGGCCAATAAGGCTCCAAAAAATGTACCAACAGATAAGATAGAAACAATTAGGGAACTTTCACTAGAAGTAAAATTTGGATCAGCAGAATGACTACTTGAAGGGAATTGGTGTTTGACGTAGTCCATAGCTAATATACCCGAGATTGTACCTGTGTCATAGCCGAATATAAACCCACCAAAAGCAGCGAATAGACCGACTAAAATACCTCTGGTCGTTGAGCCAGCTTTCTTTTCACCGAACTTGATAAACTTTTGTAAGAACTTGTTGTCTTCTAAACCCATTTTGATTAGGTCTTGATACTTGTTGTTAGTTGATGAAGAATTGCAAGAATGAGAGTTGAAAATGGAGGGAAATTTTCATCCATTTATATTCTTCAGATTTGTAATTTTTTGAAAATACAACTTTCATTTATGGGGTATATTCTCCGGTTGCCATATAGAAGTATAATGTATATTATTGAGAAGAATCCCACATTTGGTTGAGATACAAAGCCTTTAATTATTTTTCAGAGTTTGCATATTTGATCGGAGAAAATTCTATTGTGTTTTCAGATCTGGGGAAATTTACATTATTATATTACCACATCTCAATTCAGTCAACGAATAAACTTTTTCTTGAGGTAAAAAGAACCAAACCGAGAATTAACTGACCAAATAATGAGAGAAGTAGGAGAAACTATGTCTGAGATAAATTCTAATTGTACTACGGAATCGAATAAGCCTTAAGACATCAATAGCCAACCATCTGAATTTGGCATTTTGATATATCTTTTACCATGCAGGAACATTTTTTTCCGAGGTTTGATAGTGGGGTAGCGATGGTAATAATAAAATCCCCAGAAATTCAACATTATACATCTTATGTGTTAAGTGCAGCCGAGAATATACACCCCCGTAAACCATGCATTAGACTAAAGCCAGAATATGAAAGATTTCTTTGTTAGTTAAGGCGCTTCCAGATTTAAATCTTCAAGGTAAGATTTAAAATAATTCAATACTGCACATAACGCATTATTTTAATTGTGCAATTGTTTTGTGTGGTTGCAAAAAAATATTTTGAGAACTAGATTGGGACTTCCGCTTCCGCAAAACAATTTGATGGATCATTGAACGGAATGGAGATAGAACACCCAATTTTGTGGGACAAAATACACTTGGTGAAGGATTCTTGTGTATCAATAAACAATAGCCGGTTCTTTGTGATATTTTTGAACAAAATTGTGGAGTCTTTTGTGGATTACAAATAGAATCAATACAATAGGGTATATCTATAATTCTTGGTACCACGTCCGTCCGAAATACCACATGTTATAGGAAAATACTCTTGAAATCTAAGTATGAATGTGGAGCATCTATCTAGGGCGATAGAATGTAATTCAACAATTGGCATGGGCCCAGTAAGAAGATAAACATGGACATCTCGAGGGAGTAAATAGGAAAAACCGATAAGAGGTAGAACCTAAACAAATGCTCCGATCAGAAAAGCCTTTACATTTTTTCCACAATAGCAAGCCTCTAAAGATACATAAAAAATAAAATATTCTCCACAAATATAACAATTGAAGAACTTCACGCCAACGCAATGTTTCTCCAATGAGGAATTTAAAGCATCTTCTATGCAGTCAGGGTCATGAACCTCCTCCCAATGTATTCAGGTAATTCACCTTCCGTTTTAAGTCGTTCCGCAACTTAATCGGAATAATCAGAAATTTTGATAAGCCAGATTGGTTTTCATAAGACGCAGAAGGGCAGGCTCAAAGTAAAAGGCAAGTTATTTGGAACAGACTGCGAATGAATGTAATTGAGGAGTAAAATTTGTTGGAATCCTTCTAACATTTGTCGAAACACGAGTAGTTGCTTAGTGTTCTGTTTGTTTGTTCCACGGTTTCCGCTGACGGTCCACGCATTCTGAAATGTGCTTGTTCATCCCCAACTGTAGGAAACCAAATGAAAATTTTAGTGGTTTCATTACAATTCTGCGAAAGCTTCGTTGGTTCCTTCGCTTATTTGCTTCAGGACTGCCTTAGATTTTCTTGTGATTCTGATAGTAAGACTCTCCCATTGACGGTTACTTGATGCAACCAGGATTACTTTGGGATTAGAATCCATGAAGTGGCTGAAAATAAATATTTACTATCAATATCATCTGAGAAATTCAAGGTGAGCATTTCAAAGATGAATCGATTTTGATTAAGTTGCTCTATTGGAGATTCAACACGTGATTATTGGTTAAGATTGTCATTTATGGTTGTCGGTTTTCTATTTTCAATTCAAGGATCTCTTGATATTACATGAAGAATTTACAATTGTTCCTTCGATCTACTTCCATCCTTGAATTCAGGACATGCATACTTGGGAAACTTAATTAGAAGGTGTGGTATGCTTGGTTGTATTAGTTTTCTACGTGCATAGTTGCTTCTCAAAGAAGGAGACCGTGCAATCAAATTTATGAAATAGAAATTGTTCTAAAGTAGTCCGCATTTCTATCTTAAAGTAATCGTGTTCCAAGTATTAATAAGAGCCTACATGTCGTGCTTTTTATTTCTGTTATCGTATGAAAATATAATTATTAAGTAAATATTACAAATATCTGGCTAAACTATAAAATGTAAAGAAATGAAAAAATAAGTGATTTAAATCTAGGTATTCCTCTAAGCAGAGTCCATGAGAACTTCAGCTTTACCTTCATCAGATTCGGAAAGTTCGTCTCTGAAAGCGTGTTCGGTTGGAACGAATCCTTTAGATTTCCAAGCGTTATCAACCTTCAAGTATAATTCATCAACTTGTTCTAAAGTCAATCCCTTAGTTTCATAAACGAAGAAGTATACGAATAAGAAACCAATAACATTACAACCACCCCAGATGAAGAAAACTTTAGAACCTAAATTAGCATTACCTGGACCAGAATCAACCATGTATGGAGTAGCATAACCAATACCGAAGTTCCATAACCAGTTAGAAGCAGTACAAAGGGCAATAGACTTTTGTCTGACGTTAAGAGCATAAGTTTCTGCAACAACAGCCCAACATAATGGACCCCAGGTAGCAGCGAAACCAGCGATGAAAATACAAGTGAAAGCAACTAAACATTGGTTAGCAGCCTTGGAATCAGTAGCAACACCGACAACGGCCACAATCAATTGAGAGACAGCCATAACAACGGACCCACCTAATAATAAGTTTCTTCTACCTAATAATTCAATTAATGCAATACCTGGGACAGTCATACCGACATTGACAATATTAGTAGCTAATTGAATAAGGAAAGGGTTTTTAATACCTGATCTTTGGAAGAATTGAGTACCGTAGTAGAAGATAAAGTTAATACCAGTCAATTGTTGTAAAGCTTGAATGACAACACCCATGAATAATCTCTTGTGTTGTTTGTTAACGTTCTTGAAAACTTGACCCCAAGTAGCAGAACCATATCGAGATTCAAATTCGAAATTAGCTTTAATGTCTTTGTATTCTTCAATTAAATCTGGATGATCGATTGGAAGTTTTCTTAATCTTCTTAAAGAATCTAAAGCTTTGTCATGGTTAGATGTGGAGACCCAGAATCTTGGAGTTTCTGGTAATAAAAGCATACCTCCACCTAAGATGATAGCCCATAAGAATTGTAAACCAATTGGGATTCTGTAAGATCCCGAATCTTCTCTATCAGAAACACCTTTGTTAACACAGGAAGCAATGAATAAACCGATAGTAATAGCAAATTGATATGATGAGACAACAGCACCTCTAATCCATTTAGGAGTGGTTTCCGCAATATATAATGGGATAACAGCAGAAATTAAACCAACACCTAAACCAGCAATACATCTACCGACGACCAATAAAGGAATTGAGGTAGAAATAGTTTGTAATAAAACACCGAGATTGAAAACGATTAAAGTAGAAAGGATCAATGTCCATCTACGACCAATTCTATCAGAAAGAAGTGGGGCGATTAAAGCACCAAAGAAAGTACCAGCCGATAAAATTGAGACAATAAGGGAACTTTCACTTGAGGTGAATTCTGGATTAGCTGAATTTCTACTAGCTGGGAAATGGTGTTTGACATAGTCCATAGCCAATATACCAGAAATGGTACCTGTGTCATAACCGAATAAGAAACCACCAAAAGCGGCAAATAAACCAACTAAAATACCTCTGGTAGTTGAACCAGCTTTCTTTTCTCCGAAATTAATAAATCTTTGTAAGAATTTGCTATCTTCTAAACCCATGTTGAGTATGAATGTGTTTGTTTGTGATAATATAGAAAGGAAAGATAGAATTGAGTTTTCCAAAACGAAGGGAAACTGGTGTCTATTTATATTCTTCAAATTGAACTTAAAGTTTCGTAATAGAAAAAGTTTTTCCTGGGTTGCAAAAAGAAATATAGGTGAAACGGAAAAAAATTTCGCAAAATATCTCGATTTTTTTTTACAGGTTTTGCATATTTTTTAATTCCTTTTCGGAGAAAATTAAACTCGTCTTGCATTGCTGTTTCAATCGGAGAAAATTTTTATTTTTTACATTCACCACATTTGAAACTTGACCATACATTTCCATGAAAAAATAATTGCTGTGGTTTATTGAGGAATTGCATATTTTTTAAAGATTTTCCCTTGTAGGGTAAACAAAAAAATTAATTCACTGAGTTACAAAACTCACCGAAATAGAATAGAAAACAAATTTAATATTTCAAGATCAACATGTACTGAAAGCACAACCTCAAAGTTAATAAGAGCCTTGAAATAATAAAGTTTTTGGAAAGGTTTATCCAACCTATTAAGATCTTACGATTTGACAAAACGAATTCTGATTTTTTTGGTTTCTTTCGAAAAAATATATTTTTTCCGGGGAGGCTAAATAATATTCATGGCGGGGTCAAAAAAAATAATTAAAAATTCCGAGAAATAACCCAATTTTCCAGACAATAGACTAACGATGTCGAGAAAAAAGACACAATACAATTAATTCAAGATTGATTTGTCGGGAAATGTTGTTGTTCGTAAGTGTAGAACTTGCATTGTTCTTAGATTTTGAGAGTCAGCAATACGTAACCCTTCAGTTATCAACCAGATAGTGAGAGAGATAAAAAAAGAAATTGTTAAGTAGTGTTCAGCGCTACTCTGTAAAAACAGTACGTAAGGCGCTTAAGGGTGTGAAATTATTCCGGTCACCCACCAATCAAAAAATATTAAGCCGCCCGGAAATTCTTCTAATTACCACGGAACAATGAATACGTAATTCAAGAAAGAAAAAATAAATATAATCTGCACTTTGAATTTTTAACAGCAATTTTTTTTTTGGATTTTCACGTAAACAAAAAAAAGTGGAGGTGGTGGCTTTGGTTCAGAAAATGTTCTATTCTTTGTTCTGGGGGGGGGAAACCCTGTAGCGTCGTTAAATAAGCCCAGTGGATAATTCTTTTTAAAAAGAAAAGAATAATATCATTACTTTCGATATTAAATTTCTTATACTATTATTCTCGGAAATGCGATTGTCGAAGTGCATCCATGGGCAGAGGAAATTTAACTTTTGTTTCACAAACCAAAAAAACAATTAGAAACCCAACATGTTGTTGTTGGTTTTGGGATATTTTTTATTAATGCGGAGAAACTAAATTTAGATTGCCATTGCAAGAAAAAAGGAAAAACTTTTACACAAATTATCCGACCACAGGGTAAAAAATAATTCAAACAATGTGACAAAAAATGTTCCATAAAAAAATAAAATTGTCCCCACAACAACAATGTCTCAAGCCCCATACTCCAATAAAAAATTACAGGTTACACAATGTTGCCTTTCACGTAATTAATCCATTTGATTCTTCCCTAACCATTTCGTCAGATTTCCACCAATAGAAATTTTCCTCCTCTTTTTGATCAAAGGAGAAAGCGAATCTGAATTTTTTGGCAAACAATCAAAACCACCCCCTCCTTATCCCCATCCTCCAAATCGTCAATAATTGTCTATTTGTGTTCAATTTTCTCGAAAAAACAATTCAGTTTTTTTAGGGTATTTTGACCCTATTTCTATTTTATTGTACAGGCTAATGTCCAACCGAAAATAAGGAATACATGTTGTAGTAAGTGGACTCTTTGTATAATTCTAAATTTAGATCATCCAGAGAATAATCAATAACAACAAGCATAAAGGCTGAAAATAGAATTATCTACAAGATCAGATAATGTAATAGGACATATACATATGGATATGTGCATGCGCTTACGCAGCCAAATGCCTTGTCGGAGAAAAAGAAAAAACTCCAAAGAAGAAATTCTAAGACAGAAATTAAAATCATGAGATAAAAGAATTTATTTCGAGTAAAAGAAATAGATGTACAGTTATTTGCATCATTGTATGATATGAGTCTGTGGGTGTATTGTGTGTTATCAGAGATGAAGGCACACGTCATAGATAACGGGTGGGTTGATCCAATGGTAATCTGCAGAGCAGGATAAGAAAACCCAAAGACCACGCCCTAACTCCCCTCCCTCCCCCTCCTTCCTAAAGTTTATTTAATTATAAAAATACTACATGGGAACATTTATAAATTCAATTATCCCACCAATTATTATTCATCCCAACTAAACTTGTTTATTGAGATTGTTTAGTATCTGCATCAATTGCGCTATTGTTTTTTCACAGGTAGCTTCGGATTAAAAGCTTCTTCAAGCAACCAAATTTGGATGCCATTGTCCTAGATTTGGAGTGGAGGCTGAGCTAGGGGCGCAATTTTCCCCAAGGAAAGAAAACGCTACATGTTCTTATAAGAATAATGATATTCGCTAATTAACACTCAGACGACCCTTTGTTGGGTCTCTGTATTTGCTCAACAAGATGATGATTTCCGTTAAGATTTTACTTTGTCTTTTATCAATTTGTTGTTCTGTTGGGTTGGGTCTAAGTTTGGGTCTTGGCATTGAGCCGGAGAAACGAGAATCAAAATCAAAATGGAAACCAAAAATAGGAAGTTCTTGGGATTATCAACTCTCTAATCCACTCAAACAAAAACAAATCTCCAAATCAATTGACAATTACGGAATTGATTTATTTGACAACTCCAAGAAATCAATTACCAACCTCCAAAAGCAAGAAAATAAAAAAATCATTTGTTATTTCTCAGCTGGTAGTTATGAAAATTGGCGACCTGATAAATCCGAATTCGTCAAAAGTGATCTTGGTAAGAATATGGATGGATGGCCCGGTGAGAAATGGTTGAACATTAGATCTAAAAACGTCAGGAAAATAATGGAGGCGAGAATCAAATTAGCTAGTGAAAAAGGATGTGATGCAATTGATCCCGATAATATAAATGGGTATGAAAATGATACCGGATTCAAATTAACAAAACAAGATGCGGTTGATTATGTTAAATTTTTATCGGGCGTTGCTAATAAATATGGACTTTCAATGGGATTAAAAAATGGTGGTGAAATTGCTAAACTGGTGATCAATGAGGTAGAATTTTGTATTCAAGAGCAATGTGGTCAATATTCTGAATGTGAAATGTATCAAATATTTATAAAGAATAGCAAGCCAGTTTTCCATGTGGAATATCCCAAGGGAGATAAAAATACGAACAAAAATGTATCAGAGAAAACTTATAAGAAGTATTGTGGATTTAAAGATACAAAGGGGTTTTCTACGATTTTAAAGAATTTAGATTTAGATGAATGGATCCAAATTTGCAAGTGATTTCTTTGAGGTTTTCATAAATAATTAAAATAAATAAGCTATGGACTAATATACACGATTATTACAGAAATTACCAGCCGAAAGATTCGGTATGCAAGTAAATTTCTTCAACATTAGATGCGAGAATATCATTGTTGAAAACCAAAGATTGTAATTTCGACACCGAATTACTTACTTCTTCTTTCATAGAATCACTACCAGAAGAAATGAAAATATTCCTTCTTGACAAAGTATGACCTAAACTTGTAATAACTTCTGGAATTGAAGGCTTCTTGTAGGTAATGGAAAATTCGTGTATCGAACCAACAGTACTATTTGGATCATCACTGGAGTCTATTTCACAACAAAGCTTTTCTTCAGTTTTATTATCATCAACAACTTTGGCCTTCTCAGCATCTTCTTCGCTAACATAAATCTGAATATTGATAGCGTCACCAGCCAATTTTTGACATTGAAGTAATTCATCTCTAATCCAATCGATATGTTCTTCTTTTCTTATAATCCAAACAAAATTAATATACTCGGTGACAAAAGGTTTACTATCTTTGCTGAGCTTGGAAATATGATTTGCCAAATAGGTTAAGAATGGAATGATTGCAGTCACCCCACTCCCAGATCCAATTAACACCACTCTTTCGAAACCAGTAACATCTCTAAATGTACCTCCATATGGACCATCAATGAATACTTTCTTCTTGGTTGTGATATGTTGATCTAATTCAAGATAATGGGCTCTAGTTAACCCCTTCCGAGGGACAATAATGAACTTCATTTCTGAATTTGATTCATTGCTGCTCATGGACGCAATTGAAAAAGGATGATTATCAAGGATTCTACCACCCACAAATCTTAAAAAACAATGTTGCCCCGGAGTCCAAGTATAGCCCTTTGTGTTTGCAATTGTGACTTCATAGACATTTTCACCAAGTTTACGAAGTACAGCATCTCGAGAACGTAAAAACATTGAAGTTGGTTTAAAACAAGTCTTCATTAAGATACGATATAAGATTTGCGTGGCCCAGAATCCTAATGCTCCCCACATGTAATTATCAGCTCCTAAGGATTTATTAATATGCCAAATCAAGGTTCCAAAATAAGCAATACCAAACATCCAATGAGAATGTAAAAAGAATTCATATACATGTTTTCTTACCCATGATTTTGATAATGTACATAATAACCCAAGGAATATTAATGGAGGAATCCCGGAATAATATTCAAATTGAGTTTGAAAATTCAGAAACAAATGACTATTCCCCCCTTCTCTTAAATCTTGATATAAGAACGGAATTGTATGAATTAATGATAACACAAACGCTGCAACACCAACAAATTGATGATAAACATTTAATTTTTCATAACTCATACCAGTCAACAACGTAATTGCATTTGATTTCCCGGCCAAAACATAAATAAACGGGGTTAATGCCGTAGCCATTAATCCTGCCCTAACTGCCAATGGAGGAGATCCAAATCCACGACATTCACGATACCAGAAATGGGGCACTAAACAATAACATAATAAATATAATGACGTAAATGAAACGTATAAGGACCCACCAACTGAATTAGGTAATGATGTGAAGAAACGAATTCTGGCTGGGACTTGTTTATATCCAATAAAACGACAATAAGATATCAAGACATCAACAATTGAAGTAGCAACATTAGATGTTTGTCTGTTCTTATATCTATAATCTCTAAATCTATAATATAGGTGCTTAACAAAAGCAACAAAAATGGTTGCAACTCCAAAATAGGCAGTATATAAAGCATAATCAGCTTGTGCTGCCCATTTTACAGCTGCTTGCAGTTGACTACCTAGAGTCATGTATTCTTGTTCCATTGAATCTTTAATACAATCCAATCCTTGATATATAACATCTCGTTTATCCATTGTTAAAAATAATACCTGTCAATATGTAATGGTGGTTATTAAGAAACTAAGAAATGTGAAAAAAATAGGTACAATTAAGAAACCCCTGTTTAATTATTGGGTAAAGGGAAAGAAAGAACGAATCTCCATGTCTTTAAATATAAAATGAGATGGTCTTACTGTAGCGATGCATTGAATGTTATGAGCAAATTGAATCCTTCTTAAATTGGTAGAATAAAATTTGCTCACTGTTAACCAAACAGAACAATGAAATTTTTTACCAAATTATTATTAATGGAAAATTATTTTATCTTTTACGAAATTACACAAACATAAAGTGAAACATTGAAAGAATAAATCACACTTCATCTCTTATTGTGTTAATTATTATTGCGCGTCCTTTAATTGGAAGGGCGCCGCGACTCTGACGGAATAGATTTCCAATTGGGTAAGTATTGACATGCTGCATAAATCTTGACAGCCGTGCCTAAAGTTTTCTTCTTGGCAAAGAGCTATGACTGTGATCAAGCGGGTTTATAATCCATCTCTTGTATCTACTATCAGCACGCCTCTTCCCCCCTCCCTATTAATCGATTAATTTTTTTGTAAGATCGACTTAAAATTGACTCAATTATTTTCCAATCTTACATCTCGTAATTTGAGCATATTAAGTTTAACTTAAATTGGAATTCAATTATAACTCAAAGATAACCTTTATAAATCTGATTTGTAATCTTAATTACATGTGCCGGTTCAACTTTGAGGAGAGAGAGGGGATCTTTATCAAATTAATATAACTTCTATTTGTTTAAAATAAATATCTACTTATTACTTACTATATTTGTATAAATATAATTTGCTCAACTGCAATAAGGAACAGTTAATCCAATTGACCAATTATATGCACCCAAAGTTAATATTGTCATAATAAAACTAAGCATTATCGAATAAACACCATATCTATAACCATCAATTGTATTTAACCCAAATAATTCAACTACAAATGTACTAACTGTAGTTAATGCACCACAGAATCCATCTTCTAACCCCATCAAAACATGACATCCAATAACACTAGTAACTATTCTACCATTATCTGGTAATTTACCTCTTCCTACAAGATTGAATATCGCTAATAATAAACTACCACTTACATTAGCAGTAAATGTTCCTAATGGGAAATTTGTCATTTTTGAATTCAAATATTTTGACAAATAAAATCTTAATACTGCTCCAAATGGAGCAAATAACATTGCGAATGTCCAACTTCTCCATCCACCTTCACTTTTAACTCCTAATAATACACATATAATAATTACAAGACTAACCGCAATCCCTATCGATATCCGTTCCAATATTTTATATTGTTTTAAACTAAGTGGAACAATATATCTATCGGCAACAGACAGCATATGTTTACCCATATGAAATCCCATTATTGACAACCCAAATTGGGCCAACATTACTGCTAAAAATTCCATTATTCCATATGCAGCATTTGGATAATTGAAATTAACCCCAATTTCAGTATCTGCAGCTTTATTAAATGCTTCTAACATCACAGAAGAAAATGACAGAACCGTCCCACAAAATCCAGTAGTAATCCCAGTATAAACCGGTATGGAACCCTTGTTGGGATATATCTTTTCATGTTTATCCAATAACGTGAACCATAATTCTTCACCATCTATTGCAAGTCCCATAACTACACACGCAGCAAAATTCGCCCAAACAACTCCGGAAAGATATGATCCACTATATGATGTCAAATTAGTTAACCCTTTTCTTACAAGTACACCCCATATAGCCCCATGAACAATATTGAATATAATTGGAATATATTTCTTGGTTTTTACAACGATTGGAAATTCTCGAAATTCTTTAACATTAAACCCTTCTGGTAATGCATGGACAACATTTTCGGCATTTATATCCGCAATCTCCCCTTCGATTGTTCTTCTTCTTTGTAATCTGGTTTCTTCCAAACTTAAACGTCTAGTTAGACCAGGTAAGGATGATGCATCGTTTTCTTCGAGACTTGCATGTCGAGAATAAGAAGATGGGAATGGTGATCTAAAATTATTGTATTGACTCATTTTATCTCTTATAGTCTGTTATTATGAGCAGTATTGGGTGTTTGTACCCTTGGCAATATACATAGGAATAAATGTTGTTTGATCTATTTTTAAGTTTGTTGAATAAGAAGGCTTGGAATCAGTCATTAATTGATGATGTACAAAATTTGATGGCCGGGTAATAATACTTTACAAATGATAAGGTTTTTCCCCACGGCATTTAATTAATTATACAGTTTTCTGTGATGTAATAGGTGAGGCTTTAAATAGTATGAGTAATTCATAGTCAATCCATAACCATATAAGATTATTTGAAAAGAATAGTGTCATTTACTTATAATTATTAAAAATTTAAACATTTAATAATTTATGAACTGAATGAAACCATGTCTTGTGCAAGTGAGGCAGAAGATTTAGATTTTGTGTCTGATTATTATTTTAATTTTTGTCTGTCTTAATTTTATAGGGTAGCACGAGGGTTAATTAATGTTCAAGTTTCACATTTCTACCAACCAAAATTTTTACAACCAATTCAACTAACATTCACACACATTATCTCTCTTCTATTTGGCTTTGTTTTAGGATAGGACTACTAAGGCAACTATCAGATGTTATGGATATCGCTATTATGGACATTGTTATTGCTGGCCATAGCATTCTGTCATGATTCAGCTATGTCTCCCCCAGCTGCTAATATTGCCACTATTGTTGCTGTCACTGTTGCTGCCACTTCTAGTATTGAACCAACCCCAACCCCATCTACCATAGTTGATATACTATCTTCACAACCACAATATTCGTACTTCTTGCGACATCTTCAAAGACAAGGAATGATACCAAAATTGAATTCTTTAGTTAATATTACTTTATTAGCACCAATAAATCTGGCATTTATTGATAATCAAATTGAATGTAATTTAAATCAAAATCAATTATTAAGATATATTGTTAATCAGAAATTTAGAATTGGTCATTTAGATAAACATCAAGTAATATTTGATACATTATATGAATTAAATGGGAAACCTTATCCTATAAGTATCACCCCTGATTTTGAAACTTATGAATATGTTGTTGATGATATAGCTCATATTGTTGATGGCGATGTATATGCTAAACATCAACATTCATTCATACAAGGTATTGATAAAATGTTACCTATGAAACCTAGTCTATGTCAAGTCTTGTTGAATAATGATCAAGATTCCGATTTTTCGTTTATTAAAAAGTTATTTAAACTGTTGTTTGAAGATGACGATGATGATGACGATGATGATGATTCAGGTATGTTCGAGATTATTAGACATAACAACGCTGGTAATATATTAAAAGGAGGCAAAAAGAAAAAGAAGAACAAGAAGAAGAATCATAGTCCTACTAAAGAACCACCTTTACCCAAATCATGTGAAGAATATCTTTCGGGATTCCAAACTATATTTGTACCTACTGATTCATTTGTCGAAAACAGTTTAACTGAATTACAAATGAAGTATTACTCATCAAGCTATTTTGATGATAATACTCCAAACTATTTCACTACTGAAGAAGCCGAGAAAGAGATTAAACAAGACATTGTCAAATTATTGGATAATTTATTAATTAAAGATTTAATCGCAGGAGTAAATGGTACCAATTCAACTCGTGATACAAAAGCAGGAAATAAATTGAAAATCAATTTAGATAATTCAAGTCATATCATTGTCAACAAAAAAATCAAAAGCACTTCATCTCAAGTATTATCCAATGGAGTCATTCATACTTTTGGATTTCAAATTGGGTCATTCTTTGAAGATTTACATATTACTCCAGTGGAAATAATCCCTCGGAAAGCCCTTTATGCTATGCATTTTAGTAATTTTGTTAAAGAATTAGATTTCAGATCACTTGATAATTTAGTTGATGGATCGCTGGAAAAGCAGACTTTGTTTATCGATATCGCACTGAGAGACGATATTGACGACGAGGAGGATGACGCTGACGACAAGGTTAATTTCTTGGCCACACTTAAATTTAGTTCAAAACAAGAATTATTATATCAATTTGCCAATGAACCCATCCCGGCCCCATCAAAGGATCATATGCATAGATTATATACTTCTAAATTATGTTCCAAAAAGAAACTAGGTGGATGTTTTAAATTGAAATTTTCAAGTTCAACAACAAAAGGAATTCAAAAAGTTACAATTAATGATGACACCGAAATCATCCATGGTCCAATCAACATCGGAAATGATACCATACTTTATATAGCCAATGGAGAAGTCTCTCCTCCATCGAATTTCAAACATGCTTTGGGTGATTTAATCTCAAGTGGATCGATTCATCGTCATAGAGATACGATTCAAATTGATGAACAAGGATGTCTTAAGACATTGGCATATCTTGGTCAATTTAATTTGATGACTTTGGAAGATAATGGAGAAGGATATACAGTGTTCTTACCTTGTGGTTATAAGAGATTCAATTCTCAACTGAAGGCTACTGCGCCAGGAATATGGGGGGAACTTGGATTGGTATTGGATTATTTGGAAGCAAATCCGAAATTATTTCAACTGGTTTTAAGAGCAAATTTCCTTGAAGATGATATTTATTCCGATTTTGGATTGTATGAAAAGCAACATCGAAGAACACTTAAGAATTTGAATGGAAATAATGTTGTTGTTGAAGGAGGTATGGGACTGAATATTAATGATACTGTTAATATATTAAAGTATAATAAGAGTGAAATCCCAATTCCATTAAATTCAGATGTATTATTTAGTCAAGGAGTTATTCATGTCATAAACGAACTATTACTTCCTGATCAATTTTCAATTCCATTAGAAGGATTGATTCAAGCAACTATGGATTCAAATTTCCCCAATCATTCATTTGATGAATTATTGAAAATTTTCCCCAAAATCAGACATTCTTTAGGACTTGATGGATCTGGTAAAAAACTGACATATTCATTATTAATACCAACCCCGGAATCAATAAAAGATTTTAATATAACTACTTCATTCAAAGATCTTTTAAATTTTATAGAATTCCATATGATTCCAAATGAAGAACTTTCCAAAGTTTTGAATTGTATAAATGGACAGGGAAACCAGAATCATCACAACAACGATACAAATGACACTATTATTAAAACCAATTTGACACAAGCTGGTTTAACCTGTAATCATATACCTGAAAGTCGAAAGACATTCTTGCAATTTCATAAAATTGAAAATTCATCCCCCGCATCATTAAAATCATATAATAAAGATCAACAAGTAAGACTTATATCACATGGATGTACATCCATGTATAAAGGCGATAACAATACCGAAAACCTTTCATGTGTTTTCTTGATTGAGAAACCATTGAATTTGGAATGGGTAAATGGTCCAAATAAAGGTGGTGATGATTTCCTTCATATTCATATCGGATTTATAAGTGTCGGGGTTGGAATTATACTTGGATTGATTCTATTTGGTGGGGTAATGTTAAGTTTTATATTCTGTTTAGGTGGTGGACTTGGAAGAAGAAAGAATAAGAATGATACAAATCAGATATTATTCCCGAGACCAGATTCTGGATTCATGAGCGTTTTGACTGATGATGATAATGAGTTCTATCCTTATGACGGAGGTTATGAAACTGACGTTGATGGGTTGAGAGTAGAAAGTGAACCATTGTTGCCAACATTTGTCAAGAAGAAGAAGAAAATAAGGCGAAAGGATTATGGATCTACCAATACAATGCCACTGAATTTGAGAACCAATTCTAGTAATATTATACCTAGAAGTATTAATATTAATAAGAATTCAAGCAATAGAGATCGAAATATTCCTCCTGGTTATTCTCAATTCTAAGGACAAATATTTAACTTATATAATTTAATAAAATCAATTTTAGACTTTTCATATTTAACCTTTATTGCAACATGAATTTGGTTTGTAGCCATTAACCAATTGCTTGAATATTATGATGACCGGGTAACAGTTTGTTTTTCTAAAGTTGAAAAATCTTTTGTTTCGTCCTTCGCTCTCTTAACAATTACGACCCTTTGAGTGTGAGATTGAAAAAAACATCGAATAGTAGGATTTGTTTCAATCACTTTAGAAGTCACTCAAATTATACATTATATTGAATAGTAAAGTGGAAAAATGTCTGATCAAGTTCCAATTGAAAATCAACAAGAAGTGCCCGAAGATGCCCAAATGGAAGAATCACAACCAAGTGAACATCCTTCCCCTGAAGTTAACATAATAGTCAATGGTGATGAGGATATTACTGCAAGAATGCAAGAAATGGAAAGAGAAGCACAACGATTAAGAGAGCTTAATGCCCAACTAAGTCAAGAAACTGCGGGAACAGAAGCGGGTCATCCAACTGATGAAGAAAAGAGAGATGTTGATTCTAGATCTATTTATATTGGTAATGTAGATTATGCATCTACTCCATTAGAATTACAACAACACTTTTCTGGTGCTGGCGTTGTTAATAGAGTTACTATTTTAATGAATAAATTTACTGGACAACCTAAAGGATTTGCGTATTTAGAATTTGCCGATACAGATTCGGTTGATAAAGCCGTTGCAACCCTTGATGGTTCTATGTTTAGAGAACGTCAACTTAAAGTGAGTGCCAAGAGAACTAATATACCTGGAATCAGTATTCCTCGTGGTGGGTTCAGAGGTGGTAGAGGTGGTAGAGGTGGCAGAGGATCATTTAGAGGTGGGCCACGAGGTAGAGGAAGAGGTAGAGGAGGTTTCCGGGGAGGTCCAAGATTCACACCGTATTAGAAACTGGGGGGTTATTTAAATAGGAATAGACATTCTATTAATTGATATATATATATATTCAACCCTTTCCTTGGTATTTGTATTATTAGCATAAATAAAAAATCTCATTTGTTGGATAATTTCCACCTTTGAATTAATAGAAAGTGACACGGCACAACGTCAGTCTATTTAGTAACGATAGGATAGAAGCTTTAACCAGCTTTGGCTCTTTCTTCCTTTCTCAAATTTGCCTCTATAGTTAATTGAGAAATTTCATTCAAACCATCTTTTTCCAATCCTTCAATAACACCATCCACATCTCTTCTTTTCATACCTTGTTCAAACTTGTATTTACATTGAGTTTCCTTAATTTCTATTTCAAGTCCAGTAATTGCTTTCTGCATTACTTTCAAATATCCTTCAGGAGCATCGGAAACCTTCCAAGGGTGTGCATTCCCTTGTTCATTTTGATCTGTCAATTTGTTAATTTGATCTCTTACAAAATCAAAGTCATCGATGATTCTTGAAGATCCATAGATATGAGCAGATGCAAAATCCCAAGTTGGGACATATTTTTCGGTTTCGGGTTTTCCTGGATAATAATTTGGAGTAATATATGAATTACTACTTTGAAAAATAACTAATACTCGTTCATTTGAAGTTAATGAAGGAACTTGAGGGTTTGATTTAGCAACATGAGCAATTAAATATTTCTTACCGGTTTCTTGATCTTCTTTCAAGAAGAACGGAATATGATTTGCTATAATTTCTCCGGTCTCGGAACAAGTAGTAACAAGTGTGGCTAATGGATATTTCTTAATTAAGAATTCCGTTTCTTGCCATTCTTCTTCTGAATACTTTTTTGGAATGTACATTGGGCTATCTATGTGGGAAATAAGAAACTGGGGGGAGGGTAATCTAACAAGTCTATAAGTTTATATATCTATCCTTTTTATTTCTATAATTAACAAGAGGAAATGTAACCTTTATCCGTTATCATAAAAAGTGTATTTGTAAGCGCAAATAGCGTTTGTCAGATTGGTGATTGGCGGAAGTGTTCCCAATTAGGAAAGTGATTGCGATGAAATATTTTTATTGAATTTTTTCAAATGGATGCAAAAAAAAAATGTCTAAATGCTACGCTAGAAAACTATTTATAGTATACTGTCTCTAGTGACTAATAGGTTATAACTGCCCAAGTTGCAAGAACTGCCAAGACTGATGAAACAATAATGGCGAAATATAGGAGTACTTTCTCTCCTCTAGAAATGGTTTGTCCACATAAACGAAGGTAAAATAAACAAGGTAAAATAAGGCAAATAATAAAACAAATTGATGATCCAAGCATTCCAATAATTTTATCAAATTCTGGGAAAACTATTGCCAAAAGTACAAATACCAAATTTACACCAACTCTAATAATGAATTTACTAAGTCCATTATAAATCTTTCGAAGGTTACTTGATGATTCCTTATCGGTTCCCAATAATACATCTAAAGATGAAATAATTGGTTTTGCATTCAAGGGAGTCTTAGCCAAAGGAACTAAACAAATCAACCCACTAATTAAAGGATATACGAATGAAGGATATCCTGGTGTCATTAATAATGTATTTGTAATTTCATTACTACAATATGCCCCAAACATTAAAAATCCAAGTATACCCATAGAACAATCGGTAATTAAGGTGATAAAATATGTATATCTCAATGTTTTCTTAAATTTGTAAGGATGTCTCATATCACTTTTTAAGTTTGGAAAAATGGCATGTCCACCAAACGGTGCCATTAAGATTCCAATTGCCAAAAGTAAATTTGGGATTGATTCTGGCCATAAATTGGTTGGCATAACTTCCAATAATGATCCTGGTGATGAGACTTTCAAAAGCCCACACATCATAACCAAAAGAGTAATTGAAATTGTGGCTAAGATTCCAAATAAGGAAATGATAGATAAAATGGGTAATGGAACAAATGTAAATGGAGTCAAAACAATGAAACTGATAAGTTTGAATCTAGTTTGTGTCCAAACTAAGTCATCTCCAAGTAATGCAAATAAAGAATCACTGAATAATACAATTAAAGCAACCCCTGCCCCAAGTAAATCGATAGAAAAAAGTAATGAAATTATTAATTTGGCTATGGATCCATATGATGCATAACCTAAATCAGCATATGTCATAATAGTATAATCAGTATCCATAGCAGTTGATAATAAAGTTGCCGACCAATAAGTTGATAATCCACATAAAACTAAAATAGGTACACCAAAGATCCAACCAGCTTTCATGATCCCAACTGGTAATGCCAATAATCCAACCCCAATCAATACATTAATCGAGTTGAAAATGGTTTGAGGTGCAGTTGATTGTCCAGCTAATACAGTAACAATATTTCCATCACTGTCTTCTATTTTCTTAAGAGTGATTTGTGAAGTGGTTGTAACTATAGACATTGCTGATCTTAAACTGGAAAAAGATTGTACTGGACGAATTTTCTGGCGATGTATCGGGATAGCTTGAGTGACTGCTCCATATTCAGATCCTCTTCTGGATCTTGATTCGTATAATGCATTCATGAGATCGTCATGATAAAATACATCGTTATAGGCAGTATCATGAACATCATTAGCAAACACTTGATTTCTATTCTGAAGATCATGAATCACCATACTCAATCTTTCACCTTTAGTAGATGGTACCATCAATTCGGGATCGAATGTTTCATCGTCTATGATAACACCATCATCGCCTGGGGCATGAGTAAAGAATGATCTTCGTTTATGAATGTCATTATCTATTTTGGATGCAGCATATGATTGAGCTCTTGCGAATGAAGTTGCAAAGTTATGAAGTGAATTTGGTCCTTTGAAGGATCCAATAGGAGTATCTAAGAATGACATTGATGGACGTCGAGAATCGATCAAATGAGATTGTTCATCATATTGTTCATTTGATGATGACATGGCCACTCCAGGTTTGTGATGATTTTATTAACCTAAAAGACAAATATATATGATTTTGAAGGACCAGTCGCTGTAAGATCTCACTTTACCCAAGAAAATGGTAAATTTTAGTTGTAATGACAAAAGGATGTAACAGTTGAAAGATTTCAGATCTGAGAATTTGAAATTCGTCTAAAATTTAAATCTGGTGAATACTTAAATAAATTAATTAAAAAAAACTCGACAATTTATTATTAAAGATCACAAAGCGAAATCTAAATGTAAAAAAAACCCTTAAAAAACAACAAGAAAGAATGAGAAATTGTAAATTGTATTGCAAAATGGATTTACCAAACTGAAAACGAAGGAAACAAAGTTTTGAATTATTAAGAAATATTGCAGATTAAATTAATTAATTAATTGTATAGAGGAGAAGAAAGAGAGTAGGGGAAAAAAGAAGATTCTTTTAATTAAAATGTTAATTCTCTTTGTTAATCTATCAAATTAATAAATTAGCCAATTAATTAAGTCATATGAAAGAAAGATAACAACAACAATGAATTGCTTATAAATAAATAATTAATGAATAGGAATACTACTGACAAGAAATGAAAAAGCCCATATTATTCTAAACAAACTACCCTTTATTAGAAAGCACATCATCTATAAATTTCTGTTCATCATCAACTAAAATAAATTTAGCTTCATCATTACGTGGTTGATACTTTTTGCTTAATGATGATGATGTTGGTAGATAAAAATCAAGGTCCTTATTAAGTCTAACTATTGGATCACAAAGTGAAATTGCCGCTATTAAAGAATAATAAGCATCATTAGCTGCATTATGAAGATTAGCATGAGGAATATCTAATTGTTTAAGAACTGCCCATAATGAATGTCCTGAATCTCTACTTAATTTTATAAGCGCCATAGTATCAATCCTATGAATTGTTTGACTTACTTGAATCCCGGCTTTTTTTAAATACTTTATATCCTGCTTAACATCATGACCAATCAATACTCCATCCCTTGTGGTGATGTACTTTTCCATGATTTGTCCTAGGATATTTTCGGCTTGTTTTTTAGTTAATACATATGATGTTCCTCCCATGAATTTTAATTTATTACCTTGAACATATTTATAATTATGAAGTTGAAGATTTTCCAAGATGACAAGATGAATAGTTTTAATCTGTGGAACTATTGATCCAGGGGTCAGAATTTGTGGATCTAATATTGCAATCCCAATCTCAGTTAATTTTTTAGTATTATCTTCAGATGCTTCACAATCTATAGATATAAGAGGTTTAGTAAGTGGGTTCGTTAATTTCATTGCACTAGTCAATATTTGTAATGCACGTTTCTCACCTCCTTGTTTAAACTTAAAATGATCACTCTCGAGATATTGATCAATATCAATTCCCTTTAATTTGAATGTCTCTTTTAAAGATTTTACTTTACTATAATCTAGTTCTGGATGTATCATTGGTGTATAAACTTCCATCCCTTCAATCGATATGGTCGGCAAAGCCCGCTTTCGGAGGAAATCCTTCCAAAAGAACCGTATGCGATTCCTCAATGGTTTGAGTATTCCTGGTCGTATTATATTCATAGAGAATTTGCAATTAAATCAATAATATTAAGAGAAGATCATCGAATCATAAAATGTCAGTGTTTTAATTTTTTTTTTTGCTTCGCTAATTAATTTATGAGATTTGATTGATTAGAAACAACATCGATCAAGAGCAAGACTTATAAAGATATCTTCCAGTAAGCCTTCCCTTCTTTAATGAATGCAGATATAGAAATACTAAGAAACTTTCCTACTGTCGATCAGGTCAATGAAATTTTATTAAAGTCTTTAGAATCCAAACTGGGACCTTCTTTCCAACTCATAAATGCCTTACTTAACTATACAATACCTCAAATCTATCCTTCTTTAGAATCAAATATTCGATCCAATTTAATCAATGTGTTTCAATCATTAATTGGAATTGGCAATCTTGTTGGAGCAATTGCTTCTCTCAAAGATCAGACTGAGAGATCTAAAGAATTGAAGTCATTTATTGATGTGTTGCAGATGGTTGTAAATGAAAAATTAATCCTTCAATTAGTCAATAATCAAACAACTTCATTGGAAATCAAAGAGATTGATAAATTGATATTTAAGGGAAGATTGTTTTCTATTATTAATGAAGTCACAATCCTGAATAATCTAGAAATTAATAATGATCATTTGAAATCAACTGAGAAGTACATTGATTTCCTTTGTAACTCACTATTAACCCTTCATCAAAATGATGTTGCTATAATTAAAATAAATATATTCATGGTTTCCATTTTAAAGTTTGGTGATGATTCATGTACTCGATTTTTTGAACAATTTATGACTAGAAATCATTGGAGATATTTCATTGATTCATACAAAGGTCTCAAAAAGTTCCAACAAAGAGAATATATCAAGAAACTATTTACCATATATCTAAATGGGACAATATTGCGTGGAACTGCTGCTGCTGATGATGCAAAATTATTGGGTCTTTATGACATTCTTCTGTTTGTAAGTGAATGTCTTGATGAATCAATCATAGAAGTTGTTCTTCTATGTGGAAATAAGAATCTAAATAAGTTGATGTCCTTACTTGTAACCCGTCTTGATGAATCAAGATTAGACTCCGTCACAATGAAGATACTTTCAACTTGGGGTGATGAAAATTTAATCAAGAAAGAACCAATAGCAATCCAAGAATCGAGAACTCATATACTATTACAAATATTATCTCAAAGAAAGAACACCCTTTTCCTAAAGAACCTTTTGAAAGACCCGGTTTTCTTAAATTCTATAACTAATAGATTACTGTCGTTTTCAAATAATGTAAAGGCTTTGGGAGTGACATTGGCTGATTATGTATGTCAATTGAATGGCGAGGAGAAAATCTTTAAACTAACTGGAGATTTGGATTTATACTCACATCTCCTAGAAGGGTCGATAGAAATTATCCAGATATCCACCGACCCTTGGGATATGATAGTCACTCCCCATGTCGAAGAAGTAAAAGAGATTGAAACCCGACTTGAACTTGTGACTATTGATTCTGATGATGAATCGGATAGTGAAGATGATCCTTCGTTACCTTCTAAGGTGAAAATACCTGCACCGGTCTATATTAAAGATCTATTAAGATATATAACTGTTGATACTAAAGACAAGAATGCATACGAAATGAGAAGGACTGCTTTGTTGAAAGGGCCAACATTGCTTCGACAAAAAGCTGGTGTTGGGAACGAGGTATCATTCCATCTGGAGGATTTGATTACTCATTTGATTGCCTTGAATAATCATTACAACGATAGTGATTTTGAATCTTTGAAACTCAATAACATGGTTGCCACTATCGTAACAAATCCAAATATTACATTCTATATGTTTAATTTGTTATTGACTGGAGATTACTCGTTACAACAAAGAATGATTATCCTATCTGCGACATCTTTAGCTGCTCGAGAACTAAGAGGATTAAAGGATGACGTGATTACCAAGTCATTTACTCCAAAGAGCTTCCCCACCAAGATGTTACCTCCTGCCCTACATCAGAAATATTTAAATATGGAAGTTGGCACGAAATATATCGATACAATACAACATAATTTACAAGATTCACTAATGCATGAAGAATCTTCAAAAGCACAAGATACGATTCTTGGTAATGGGAAATTGGTTAGAATATCAGCAAAATTGAAAAAGGAACAAGCTGGAATCGTCTCCACTAATGATCATCCTATTATTCCAAATTTCTATCAATTAGTAGGTAGAAATTTCTTCTTCCCCTTACTTAATGTATGGTATGAAGCAGAAGGAATTGATATTGGACATTATACACCTGTCTTTGTTGCACACTACATTAAAACCTTAACTTTATTGATTCATTGTGCCTATCCTTCCTCGATTCAGTTGAAAGATATGATTAGAGAATTTTTGGTGCTTTCGAAAACTATAATTGCCAAGGTATCCTTGAGTGAACTTCAAGTCATCGAAAGTGTAGTTACTGGATTGCTTTTAATATTTGATATCACCGATAAGGAATATCTAATTTTAAATCACAATAAAGAAATCTTATTCTTCCGAGATTGGTTACATATTTCTTGGGAACAAGTTATAGATTCAAAAATAAAAAGTTTATGTGCTGGTTTATTATTGAAAATCCAAGATTTAACTCAAAGCTTCGAAAGAACAATCATGGACCAAATGAATAGTATTTATTAAATATGTGAATTATAGATTAATGCTTAAATATTGTCAAGGTTGCTTCAATGGCTGTATATAACTCAATGCAATCTGCGGTATTTGCCACAGCTATGTTCTTCTTTTTCTTTTCCAATCTTCGTTTCAGCCTTTCTTTTTTTATAGCTGCAGGGGAAGGTTTTGGATCTTCTGCAGGTTTTGTGTCGTTCAGGTCTTCTATATCCATCTTACTATCTTCGTCTTCGTTAGATAAATCTGAGGACTGTTCCTTCCCATCTTCGTCTTTGGTCAGATCTCCTTCTTCTTTTGATTTATCTTCTTGCTTGGCAGGTGATGGGTCCATTACATCCAAATTAAAGCGAACCCTACATTGTGGATCACACAAGGTCATTGCCAATACCAATGTATAATAGGCATCATTACCAGCGTTATGTAAAAATGCATGAGGTATTTGTACAACATTAAGGGCATTCTTTAAACTGATTCCCGATTTCCCTCTACTGAATCTAAATAATTGTGCTGTGTCTAATCTTAAAAAATGGGTTGGAAGTTTTACACCCAAGGCATTTAACCACTTGATGTCACCTGATACATCGTGGCCAACAAAATATGATGGCACGTTGTGTGGTTTTGGTTTATGTAAATAGTAATCTACTAAACTTTGAATAAATGATGCAGCTTCATATTTTGTCATAACATAAGACACACCACCATTAAAATTATTAGCATGATTAGGAACAAATTTTCCATTAATCTTATCTATGTTTTCTTTAATTCTAATATGAATTTGTTGAATAGTAGGCATCATTGCCATTTGTTGCTCACGGGGGTCATATATTGCGATTCCTATTTCTGTAACTATCCTTGTATTGAATTCCCAGGCTTCAACATCAACACAAAACAAGATACTTTTTCGTCCATAAACGTTTCTCATCGATTCTATTAATTGTTTCTGAGCTTCTGGGTTGGCTAATCTTGGATTTGTACGGAAATTTGAATTATTCTCGGCATATTGATCTATAATGTAGTCATAAACAGGCAAATTCCAACATACAGTTTCATCTAAGGTTTTAAATTTAGGTAAATTCTGAAGATGGGTAGATACATAATGTCGATACTCTTGTCTTATTTCTAATATCGGTATATGTGGTCTTTTTGGAAGTTTCCCTTTCTTGCCATGTTCGGAACCATGGTGTTTATCTCGATCCTCATTTGTGTGATGATGATGCGGATGTTTGGAATGGTGGGTATTATCGTGATGTTTATTCTTCTTACGACCCTTAGGACTGGATGATATTCCAAGGTCCTGCTTATTACTAGTTTCATGTGACATCATGTTCCTTGATCGAAAAAGAGAAGAAGAAGAAGAAGAAGAAGAGTCATCACAAAAAATAATTTATCACCACCTTTTTTTTTTGTTAGTATTTGGTGGTTAGTACCGATTGAAATTTATTAAATGATTTAAGGTTTGGATACTTATAAACAAATTATTCGAAAAAGTTGTAAATTCTGACAAGCAGTTTTTTATAGAATTTATTAAGGTTCTAAAGGTGTTACTTTAATTAACATTTAGAAACAAACTCACTGCAACAATCCCAGCAATCAATGCCTTCTTCTTCCAAGAATTCTCTTTACTATCAAACACACCGACTGGAACAGCAGCATTAGTTCTGGTGGCTCCGGTTTGAGTTGCAGCTGAATTACTTACACCCGTTTGTCTAGTGCCAGAAGCAGTGGCAGGTTCCCAAACAGATTGGGATCCAGTAAACCCCCATTGATTGAATGTTTGGGTATTCCAGACAGACTGAGTTCCGGTGAACCCCCATTGATTGAAGGAACCCCCACCTTGTCCGTTATTATCTGGATTACCATTGCTTTCAGCTTGGGTATTAATTGCTTCCGGAGCAGTGCTTTGAATTGGGTTAGCGGCGGGCGCAGCAGTATTGGCTACTTGGGTATTGGCTATTTGGGTAGCACTTGCTGCTAATGTGGGTGGTTGGGTTGTAGTAGTACCGGGGCCCAGTAAGATTTCTCCAACTGGTACAGAACCAGTAATAATAAAAATGCTTCCATCGTTGTTATTTACACTTGGGATCAGGACCCTGTTCACATCATAAGTTTCTTGGCCAGCAGTAACATCCTTATTTTCATTCTCTACTTGTTTATAGTCATTGCTCTGGGTAATAGTGTTCTTGGTAGTTTCATCCTTGGTACTGAGGTAATCTAGTTCATTATCGAATCCTCCAAGGTTGATGGAGCTGGCCAACCCAGCTAAGGATAACACTAGAAAGCTTGAGCTAATTCCCAATTGAATCGACATTGTATTTGATGATATGGTTATGAACTGTCTATGATACTTGGATTTCTATTAAATATCGCCAATGATATCAATAATATTGGGAGCCAGAATGTGGTATTTCAACTTGCGAGAAGATTTCTGAGTGTGGATTGTAAGGCGAACATCCCTTGGATGAAGTGGTTATACGTACCTGCATACAGATGATTCGTTAAGTCTAATATGATTTCCTAATTAGGATAGATCAAAATATTGCTTGGAAAATTTTTTGCAATAAACAATGACGACACTAAAAACAATGGAAAAAAAATAATGAAATTTTTGCAACCTTTACCGAGGTAACTTAATTTATTTATAGATTAAACTAGTTTAGTTGCAAAAGCCTTGGTTTACACAAAATTACACAGTCCTTCAGGTATATAAATATATCAAACAACGAATTAAATTAAATAAATATAGAAAAAAAAAAATTACTATTAAAACTTAAAATATTACTGTTGCAAAGAACGACACATCATCATGATTTTTATTCGTTTAAGGATGCTAATAAGGGGATATCAAGCATGACATCAGAATTTTGAACCAGGAGACTCTGATTGGACCTTGATTTACCATCTTGACACCTTGAAGAAATTGAAGGATTAGTTTCAGAGACAATATCTTTTTCATGTATAGTCTGGGAAGGTATCTCTCCGTTGAACCATGTTGCTTGATATTTGAAAAGATTCTTTGATACCCAATGAGAAAGATTCTTCTTGTTATGAGTCAAGGCTACAGAAACAGTCCTTTCGGAATTAGGTATCAAATCCTTCAACCTTATACAAATTTTGTTTGAGCCTTCCTTCTCGGCAAGGAAACCACTTTCTTCGACGTTAAGACTAACATGTGGTTGGTCCAACTCCATTTCTATTGACAATTCTGGTATGCAAATCTTCTGGAAATGGTTTTGAATTAAGGGACCACCGTCAATGATCATTTCCCTGAATGAATTGAATATAAGCAAATGATTTCCAAAGCTCATGTCTTTTGATAATAATCGGTGAAGAATATCTATTGGCTTGTTGGTTACCTTTCCTATTCTTATTAATGTAACTGATATTTTGCTTTTCATATCGTTCACAAGCTTTATCAAATTTTTGTCAGCAACAGTGTTTCTATCACTTAAGTAATCATTCCCACTTATTATAATGAACTTTTTAATACTGTTGTTATCGACATCAATGAATGGGTAGAGTTCTGAGCACTTTTGAAATGCAATTTTCAATTCTTCTAAATTATTCCTAAAAGAATTTGCAACAACAGAAATGTTTTGAATCATTTCTCTCCAACCGTCCCAAGAAGATTCGATACATCCTGTAAAGGCCCCTTTCTTGCTAGCCTCACCTTGGCCATTTATTCCAATCCAGATTACTCCAAGTTTATCTTTTGGCCGCAAGACTTCAAGAACCATTTCAATCATACACACAACATTATCTTGATATTCTTGGTCAGAAAGTCCTGTCCTATTGACTAACGGGATTGCAACTATTAGATTCAAAGGAAGGTCTTCAGGACATGGTAATGCTTTTGCGAGATATTCTTCTGGAATTTCGTTATCATTCACTACTAAATCTGTAAACTTTATCAAATCTTCGGGAATGTCGAATTTGTCTTGAAACTCTTTCCAGAAGGTCCCTGAAAATTCAAATAAACTATAGTTTACTTTATTGCTTTTGTTCTTTAACAGATTAATTGCTGAATCCCACTTGACACTAATAACTGTGCTAGGAAAGCGAACACTCAATTCAGGAAGAGTTTCTTTTGTTAAATTAAGAGTTAACATTCTATCCTCTGCATTGACAGTAGTTAGGTCATCTTCGAGTGAAACAACTCCTACTAACGTCTCTTCGTCATAAAGAAGGAAATATTGGTTAAAAAGATAAGCAGTTGCTTCATCCCATTCCCTTCCAGTGACACTTACTTCCACTTTATCAAACATTAGCAAGTCTCCAAGATTTTCAAAAGCGAGCTTGAATTTGGTTCTGATATGAGATACTATCTTTTCCTTAAGTTCTGTTTCGTCTCTAGTATTGGGTGACTTCTTGTAAACTTCTGGCGATTTTATAGTGAAAACACAATTAAAATTAGTGATATCGCCCTGGTCTAAGGTTTTGTCTGCTTGACAGGCGCATTCTATGTTTGGGAAATATACAGTCATATTCTTATGGTTCTTTTCTATTTCCGGTATTTCCTGGAGCATTGACTCTGATTCCGCCATGGGTCCAAACGTAGGAGTTACTTTTAAGTCCAATAAACTATTTTCTTTTAGATATTCTTGCCCTGACCCTTCTTTCCACTTTTTCATTAAGTCTTTGACGACATTTTCATCCTGACATTTTGTATCTTGATCGCATATTCCACACTTTAAATTTTCAATTATTCCTGTTTTATCCATCATTACCGTCAAGCACTGTTCATGACATAAATGATCACAAGATAAAAGTACATTGGATTCACCTGGTAGGGATGCCGAAAGTAAAACTTGGCAGAATGCACAATTGTCTTCAACATAGCTTCTAGTCTCGAAAAGTTGATTCTCTTTGAGAGGTGGAAGTTGAGTTTGAGTGTCTGGTTTAAGTTTTGACGAACTTCCTGAGAATGGTGCTTCCCAATCTGTCAGTAAAGCAATTTCATTAACTAATGGCAGACCTTTTTTAGAAAGATTTGGGTCCAATGTGGATTTTCTTGGGGAAGGGTGATGGAGGAGAAATTTTCTTGCCAATTTTACCATTTTATAAAAAGAATATAAGAATTGACTTTAATTGACTCGCAGTTACTATTAAAAACCAAGTTTTAGTTGATGCTAATAAGATATTAGATCTATTAATTCAGATGGAAGTAATTTGGTGGGTCTTGGGTCTTTTAAATGAAGAATTTGACATGGTTAATTTATGTGTTTCAGGTTTGAAAGCCCATCACGCCAATTGAAATAATTTTTTGCAGCTTTTAGTAAGGCAAACCCAACCGTTAGTGACACCAGTCCATGGCTGTACCAAATATTCTACTGTATTAGTCATGCAAATGAAATCTTTCTTTCTTTTTTTTTCGTTGCCTATACTAACTTGATGTTGTAATCACCCCATGACCCCATGGGTGCTAAATAAATAAATTGGTTGCAATTTTACACACTAAAAATTATTTTTTAATTCTTGGCTGTTTTAGATTTTATGGTTGCACAAAAAATATTTTATAATTTTTCTTAAAAAATAATATTTACATTTGACATGATCAACCGCATCTTATCCATTTACGATAAGAAAAATGACTGTCTTTCGGAAAGAATCATTCATCCAACATAGTCACCATACTGTCGGAGAGATTTCGATATCATTAAAATACTGAACATCAGACGTGTATTTCTGTACTGGAAGAAACTCCTATTCGGATGTTACTACTGAGTTTTTTTAGGCTGATCTATGAATTAAGCTTTTTGTGAGAAGGAGAAAATCAAGCTTTTTGTACCAGAATTGATGACACCATGGTGACCAATCATTGCTAATACCAGGTAAGTCTATCTTTCGAGATGTTGCTTTTGTTAAAAGCTTGTTCTCTCTATTTATCATATACTACGAAATCTTGCCGCGGGAGGCAAGCCCACTCTTACACAGCCAACATAAGTTGTATATTGTCTTAAACAAAATCCGCATTCAACTATACATACTTATTTATTTAGCGAATAATTCAATCAAGGCGTTTGCTCACTCTTTCGATTGTCTTAAAGAATATATTTTGCCAAGCAGCGAATCTTTCAAAACTTCCATCCTCTATAGCTTCATTTAATCCAGGCAAATTTTGGCCATCATAACCAGTGAATCTTCCACTTGCAAATACGGTATGCTTAAACCATGGCCTATTAAATAATCCGTCTTCGTGCAAGAAATTACGTTCGAAATATTTCAATGCTTTATTGTGATATT